ATGTGATTCGGACATATTTAATGCAGGCTTAGGGTTCATGATCTTACTTGGGTTGGACGAAATTGGTGTTACTGGCGACTTCCTTCCATCTTGCACTGGTTCTTGAGCTTCAATCTCAGCTGATCCTCCATTCTTCTTTGATTTTCTGGCCATAGCTAACGCTCACCACATCGGGAAAATCGATCGGAGAGAACACACAGTCAATGTATTTTCGCCGCTAGTGAATAGAGAGTCAACTTAAAAAAAAAATTCTCATGTTAAATTAGCAAGCTACTCTATTGAATTGAATAGCACAGTAGGCTGCTAGCGTTAATTTGTAAGTTTGATAATTGATACGCATTAGGATAATAATCTCATTGAAGACCATATGTGATACATATATATGGGGAGTTCTTTATCTTAATCCCAAGTGTCACAAAAAAAAGTATCCAAGGGCGTCCTGAGTCCAGTATATATTTCCGAAGCGTTTTTCCCTCAGCAACATTATGTTGAAAAAGAAAAAGGGGGAAAAAAACCCATTCTATCAGTGGATATGCTCGAAAATCTTTATGCTCTCTCAATCTCGAGATTATTGTTCAGTTTGAATTTTTATTTTTAGTTCAAATTGTACTTAAAGTTAACATATAATCTAAACAATAATTTTGTGACAAAAGAGTATGAAGTATCCGTGAAACTTTCATGAACAAAAAAAAAGAAAAAGAAAAAGAAGAAAGTATGCGTGAGACTTTATTGTGAATCATCTTTTCATAACGACCTTGCTCGGTATTGAAAGCTTGTTTCCGACCAAAAAATAATGGTCCAGTTAAAAGAGACAAAAACATATAATTCTTCTTCTTATTCCTCTTTGTTGATAATTAAAGAGATCAGACCTTAGTACTTCATCAATTTAAAAACACTTTCGGGATAAGCAAACAGTATCATGCATGTGGTTTTTGTTCTCGAGATGTTTATACTAACTTTGTAAATGAAGGATATGCACTTTCGTATTTAATTTCAACGATTCAAAAGAGTATAACCACACGCACTATTGGGTAAAAAATAATCATAAAATGAAAGAGCATCATGATATTACTACTACATATAAGAAAGGACCACCCATACTTATTCTCTTGTACTGTATATATGTCATGTTATTGCATCATTATACTTATTTCAATAAACTTAATTGTTTAACTTTATCAAATATATAGAAATTTGTTTTTTAAACAAGTGAATGTCAAGGCCAAGCGAAAATAAGGAGTTTGTTTCCCGTCAAGTAAAGATTGGGATATAAGTCTCTATATATACATGAAAAAATAATTGCTTGGAGATCTGAATCCCTGAAATATTAACTAAGACTTAAATTATTGATTTGAATTTGTGTGAATGAAGTTTTTAATGGTTCTATTTTTTTTCTTGGTGCTATATAGTTCCCAAGATGTTTATACTAATTTTGTAAATGAAGGATATGCACTTTCGTATTTAATTTCAACGATTTAAAAGAGTATAACCACATGCACAATTGGGTAAAAAAAATAATCATAAAATGAAAGAGTATCATGATACTACTACTACATTTAAACAAGGACCACCCATACTTATTCTCTTGTACTGTATATATGTCATGTTGTTGCATCATTATACTTATTTCAATAAACTTAATCGTTTGGCTTTATCAAATATATAGAATTTTATTTTTTAAACAAGTGAATGTCAAGGCCAAGCGAAAATAAGGAGTTTGTTTCCCGTCAAGTGAAGATCGGGATATAAGTCTCTATATATATATATGAAAAACTAATTGTTTGGAGATCTGAATCCCTGAAATATTAACTAAGGCTTAATTTATTGATTTGAATTTGTGTGAATGAAGTTTTTAATAGTGCTATTTTTTTTCTTGGTGCTATATAGTTCTCGAGATGTTTATACTAATTTTGTAAATGAATGATATGCATTTTCGTATTTAATTTCAATGATTCAAAAGAGTATAACCACACGCACTATTGGGTAAAAAAATAATCATAAAATGAAAGAGAATCATGACATTACTACTACATATAAGCAAGAACCACCAATACTTATTCTCTTGTACTGTATATATGTCATGTTGTTGAATCATTATACTTATTTCAATAAACTTAATTGTTTGACTTTATCAAATATATAGAATTTTGTTTTTTAAACAAGTGAATGTCAAGGCCAAGCGAGAATAAGGAGTTTGTTTCCCATCAAGTGAAGATCCAGATATAAGTCTCTATATATACATGAAAAAATAATTGTTTGGAGATATGAATCCCTAAAATATTAACTAAGGCTTAAATTATTGATTTGAATTTGTGTGAATGAAGTTTTTAATGGTGCTATTTTTTTTTTCTTGGTGCTATATAGTTCTCGAGATGTTTATACTAATTTTGTAAATGAAGGATATGAACTTTCGTATTTAATTACAACGATTCAAAAGAGTATAACCACACGCACTATTGGGTAAAAAATAATCATAAAACGAAAGAGCATCATGATATTACTACTATATATAAGCAAGGCCCACCCATACTTATTCTCTTGTAGTGTATATATGTCATGTTGTTGCATCATTATACTTATTTCAATAAACTTAATTGTTTGACTTTATCAAATATATAGAATTTTGTTTTTTAAACAAGTGAATATCAAGGCCAAGCGAAAATAAGGAGTTTGTTTCCCGTCAAGTGAAGATCGGGATATAAGTCTCTATATATTCATGAAAAAATAATTGTTTGGAGATTTGAATCCCGGAAATATTAACTAAGGCTTAAATTATTGATTTGAATTCGTGTGAATGAAGTTTTTAATGGTGCTATTTTTTTTTTCTTGGTGCTATATAGTTCTCGAGATGTTTATACTAATTTTGTAAATGAAGAATATGCACTTTCGTATTTAATTTCAACGATTCAAAAGAGTATAACCACACACACTATATATTGGGTAAAAAAATAATCATAAAATGAAAGAGTATCATGATATTACTACTATATATAAGCAAGGCCCACACATACTTATTCTCTTGTAGTGTATATAAGTCATGTTGTTGCATCATTATACTTATTTCAATAAAATTAATTGTTTGACTTTATCAAATATAAAGAATTTTATTTTTTAAACAAGTGAATATCAAGGCCAAGCGAAAATAAGGAGTTTGTTTCCCGTCAAGTGAAGATCGGGATATAAGTCTCTACATATTCATGAAAAAATAATTGTTTTGAGATCTGAATCCCTGAAATATTAACTAAGGCTTAAATTATTGATTTGAATTTGTGTGAATGAAGTTTTTAATGGTGCTATTTTATTTTCTTGGTGCTATATAGTTCTCGAGATGTTTATACTAATTTTGTAAATGAAGGATATGAACTTTCGTATTTAATTTCAACGATTCAAAAGAGTATAACCACACGCACTATTGGGTAAAAAAATAATCATAAAACGAAAGAGCATCATGATATTACTACTATATATAAGCAAGGCCCACCCATACTTATTCTCTTGTAGTGTATATATGTCATGTTGTTGCATCATTATACTTATTTCAATAAACTTAATTGTATGACTTTATCAAATATATAGAATTTTAGTTTTTAAACAAGTGAATATCAAGGCCAAGCGAAAATTAGGAGTTTGGTTCTCGTCAAGTGAAGATCGGGATATAAGTCTCTATATATACATGAAAAAATAATTATTTGGAGATCTGAATCCCTGAAATATTAACTAAGGCTTAAATTATTGATTTGAATTTGTGGGAATGAAGTTTTTAATGGTGCTATTTGTTTTTCTTGGTGCTATATAGTTCATGTAATCAAGAAAAAGGAGGGAGAGGACAAAAAGAAAAAACCTAATTGCCACTTGTTCAACTGATCAACTGGCTGCTTGAATTTGTACAGGAGGGCCCATGGATCAAACCTTTATTGTATTCTCTCATAGAAATGATGCTAATTATATAACTCTTCTAACTATAAAAGGCCCGAGTCCCTTCTCCAATTTGCTCACCCTTCCAAATTCATTTTTATCTTGCTTTCTTGCTAAACTAGCTCTATACTACCTCCCGCAAAAATGTCAGCTCAGATGCAAAAAGTGGTTTCCTCCACTGAACTCAAGATTGATGCTAATCATTTTCTTGAAATCTACCGAGACAGACCTCACCAATTATTTAAAATGACCCCGGCTAACATTCATAGCGTTGAGTTGTGTGATGGTGAGTGGGGGAAAGAGGGAATTGTCATCCACTGGAATTTTACTCATGGTATGTTATAAAAGTTAATTTTTGGAGTATTCTTTTTATCATTTCTAAATTAAGAAAACAGATTTTCATTACTTAACTAGTGTTGTATAGATTTCTTTACTTATTTATACTTCTGTGGAGACTTTCTGTAGATGGAAGGATTAAAACTTTGAAAACCATTAATTCTCCCCTCTCTCTAGGTTTCCCAACGCTCTCCCCTCTCTCTAGGTTTTCAAAAACCTAAAGCTATAACGGACACTAATAGGGCTCGGCTGCCATGGCCGATCCAAAACCGGGCCCTTCCAATCGGAAATCAGCCGTCCTATGCCTCTCTTTTCAACAAGTCGCAACCTCATTATCCAAATCAACCGGAGATCAAGAAGGCTCAATTCTACAAAGGGAAGCCGGTAATCTGGTATGAAGAGGATGAGTTTAAACTCCTCCTTACAGATCTAAAGTTGTGCTTAGTCGGAAAATTTTCTTTTGGCCGTCCTACTATGGAGGAAATCAGAAAAGAGTTCAAGACTATTGATTTTTTTGGATCACATGAGAACATCTTTTGAACGATCGTCACATTTTGATAACTTTTCAACACGAAGAAGATTACCAACGTTGCTGGTTGCGGAAGACTTGGAATATCGGCGGCTATGGAATGAGAATTCTGAAGTGGCAGCCCGGCTTCAAATACGAGAAGGAACCCCCAATTGCGCCGGTCTGGATCTCCCGTCACAACCTGCCGTATGAATTTTTCAAACCTAATTGTATAAACTCCATGGCTGCAGCAATCGGGACGCCTTTAAAGATTGATCAACCGACATTGATGCGGACTCGTTCATCGGTGGCTAGGGTTTGTGTAGAGATAGATCTGACTTAAGAGCGGCCACCAACGGTACTAATCGGTCGAAGGGGCAAAGAGCATGAGATACTCATTGAGTACGAGAACATCCCACATTATTGTCACAATTGCAGTATTATTGGCCACAACAGAGGCACAATGTAGGAAGAGTAAAAAAATCTGTTCCCCAACAAGTAGCTAAATCTGGATCTGAAGCCATGAACGAAGTGATGGATCATGTCGCCCCAAGGAAAACTCCTCATCATCATAACGCAACCTCTGCAAAGAGACAACCTCCAGTTTGTAAACCAATCTCTAAGCCAATTGAAGCGGAAAAGGCAATACAACATAAGGCAAATTCAACCTCTGGGCTGACAACAGTTGGAAAATTAGCTACTCCTACACTTGTTTCAGAAAGATCGCCTCTAATCCAACTGTCAACTCCAAGTCCAACCAAGCTTTCCCAACAACAGATAAGTTCCCTTCTTGATCAAAGTTTAGCTGAATTTTTAATTCCTTTTGAGGATTTAATGCAGGGCATTGAAGTTCAGAATGAGGCACAAACCCCCGAAGGCAAAGTAGCAGAAAAGAATGAACCTCAGATTACAGACAGTAGACAGCGCGCTTTTTTGCCTTGCACAGAAACAGAAAATTCTCTTGTATTGGAAGAACCTCCTTGTAACCTTAGGAATACGGTCAACACCTCTTTGATTGCTGATGATGCGCAGTTAGCATATGTATCAGCGAATGAATCGGATCATACCAATGAGGAGAATCAGGCAACAACGATCCTGGCAGCAGTTCCACGAATCTTACCACAATATTATGAGAAAAATGTCAACACTGAGCAATATTGGCGTGATCAATCTCCAAAATCAGTAACGGTGCGGTTTTCAAAAGGTACAAAAGAGACGAGGTAGACCAAAAGGAACAACTAAAAAGCGAGTAACAATCCAATCTGAACCTGAAGGCTTCACTGGAGTGCAAACTCAGCAATCAGGCCCGTCAATCAGGTGACACTAATCCAAAAATTTTTAAAAAATGATATCTCAATTACCCTGGAATATTAGGGGCATTTCTAATATAGCATCAGTTAGAAGATTAAAAATCTAATCCGGATGCATAAAATCGTTTTCCTTATCATTCTTGAACCTATGTTGCAATTAGATCAGCTAGAAAAAACACAACGAGAACTTAATTTGGATTATGCTTTTGCATCAATAACAGTAAAATATGGGTTTTTTTCAAAAAATGAGTTTCAAGTTTCATGTCTTAGGAGAGTCCAATCAGGTTTTGCATCTAGAAGTTGTACATACTAATTTGCAGGATCCACTTCTTATCTCTGCGGTTTATGCTAAATCCACACGACAAGAAAGGCATAGCTTGTGGGCGGAAATGCGAGATTTTTCTTTGAGCCACGTAGGGCGACTTGGATGATCGGGGTGATTTCAACGTTATACGAGCAGTTGATGAGTATGATGGTCCTTCTCAGCCGAATCATTTGTCAATGGAGGATTTCAATGATTGTATCTCGGATTGTAAGCTGGTAGAAGTGTCAACTTTGGGTTCAGATTATACATGGGGTGGTAACCGACATACAGGATGGGTTCAGAAAAAGCTTGATCGCATTCTTTTCTCTGAAAAATGGACGGAACTTTTCAAGTCTCTTCCATTCAGCATCTCAACCGTACTTGCTCTGATCACTCTCCGCTTCTTCATCAATTCACGGTCAACAATGAAACCAAACCGAAGATCTTCCGATTTCAGAAGATGTGGATTAGGCGCGAAGAATTCATGGACATTGTCCGCGACGACTGGAATAAACCAATTGATTGCTACGGAATGTTTGGTCTCTCAGTTAAGCTGCGTCGTTTAAAGCAAAGGCTGAGGGAATGGAATAAATTGGTTTTTAGTGACGTCTTTGAGAATCTCCGAACGGCGGAAGAAAAGGTAACAAGATTGGAGGAGCAGCATGATCGTACTCAGGATCCAAACGACCGGATTACCTTAAAAGAAGCTTAAGCGCATCTATTTTTAAAGTTGAAGGAAAGGAATGATTTCTTTAGTCAGAAACTTCAGCTAAAATGGCTTAAACATGGTGACTCGAATTCGGCTTTCTTCCATGCTTCACTGGCGGAGAAGAGAACACGCCTTGGCATACATAAAATACAAAGCTCAAATGGTGTATGGTTATCTGATCGGGAATCAATCGAAAACGAGGCGGTATCTTTCTTCACTTCACTTCTTCGAGAGGAAACTAAAGATGGTCAAGAAGCTGCACAGCAGGAGATGTTGCAGTACATTCCTAATCTTATCTCAGCTGAAGACAATGATATGCTTCTTGCTACAATCACAATGGAGGAACTTAAGGAAGCCGTTTTCAGCCTTGATGCTTCAAGCTCACTAGGGATAGATGGATTTGGAGGAATTTTCTTTCGAAGTTGCTGGGATATAATAAAAAATGACTTGCTCCTTGCTTGTCATGAATTTATATTAGGCGTCCCAATTCCAAAGGCCATAAGCAGCACCATTATAACGCTCATTCCAAAGAAGAGTTCGGTTACAACTTTCTCCGATTTCTGGCCTATAAGTCTCTGCAATTTTGTGAATAAAGTATTCACAAAAATCATAACGGAGAGATTAAAGATTCTACTTCCTAAAGTAATATCAGAAGAGCAATCCGCTTTTTTATCTGGCAGAGATATTACAGACAATATCCTTATGACTCAAGATCTTTGTCAGTTTTTGGATCACCCAGCTATAGGAGGGAATTTAATTTTGAAGCTTGACATGATGAAAGCCTTTGACTGGGTCTCCTAGAGTTTTCTTCGAATTGTCCTACAAGGTTTTGGATTTCGGGAACATTTTGTCAATTTAATCTTAGGCAACTTGCAAAGGAGTTGGTTTTCGGTATTGCTGAATGGTAGTTCAATCGGTTTCTTTCAATCCACGAGGGGCATAAATCAAGGAGATCCTTTATCCCCCTATTTGTTTATTGTAATGTCTGAAGCCATGACTCGGGGTTTAAAGTCCTTGACGGCGACTGGAAAAATAGCCTCGTACGGAGCTTCGGCTGGATCAAATATTGTTTCTCACTTGAGTTTCGCTGATGACTTGATCATTTTCTCCAAGGGGCTCAAGAGATCTTTACATCAACTCAATCAATTCTTCCAACTCTACGAGAGGGCATCTGGTCAAAAAATGAACAAGGAAAAAAGTTTCTTCTATACTTCTGAGGATACAACTGATCAACACATTAATATGATCGCCAGTGAGCTTGGAATGCCGAAAGGGAAATTACCCTTTATGTACTTGGGAAATTAAGACACTATTTTTCTGATTTATTTTATTCTTCCTAACATAAAAATTAAAAATATTTAAATGAAACTAATATTCCATATAAAAATAAAATATTAACTCAAATAAAAAATATTAATATATTTTAGTGTATTACAGTTTAACTCAAGAGACTATAACTTGCATTAATATAATTCATAAAAAAAAACTAAAATATAAAATAATTAAAACCTTAAAAAAAATCCTCCAAACATAAGTTTTCCTTCTTGAATCTAAAACCTATTTTCTATCACAACAACTTATTACCATATTGTTACCTCCATTCATTTATTTTAAACTAAAATCATATAGAATAAGCTAGTAAGATTTCCTCTATAGTTAGATATATTAATATCTCAAATAATTATTACAAAATGTTAAATCCTCGCATTGATAAGTATAAACATATTTTTTATAAATTATAATATGCCATGTAGTATCTCTAGTTAAATTGTAATACACTAAACTATACTAATATATTATTTTTTATTTGACTTAATATTTTATTTTTATGTGGAATATTAGTTTCATTTAAATGTTTTTAATCTTTATGTTAGAAAGAATAAAATAAATTAGAAAAATAGTGTCTTTATTGCTAAACTATATTATTAAAAAAATTAACATGCTTATATAAATACAATTATGTGTTACAACTATACAAAGATTAACTTTTACGGTAGAGTTTGAAAATAAATAAATATTTTTTTAAAACTCATATAATATACTTTTATGGTCATTAAAAATAGTTGACAGAAATGGAACAAAATAGAGAAAAATCAAATAAAAAAGTAAAAAGGACTATTTTGTTATTTTTATGTATTTTAGGGGTTATTTTTAAAATTTTTACAAACTACTGGGGTATTTTTGTATTTAAATTTATTATTTTATTAAAAAACTAACGGAGATCCATTAATTTGGATGGAAAATGGACCGATCGGATGAAATTGGCGAAAATTTCAAACATTAGGGTAAAATTAACTAACCGAAAATCTATTAGATATGATTGACAACGAGGACAAAGTTTTGGGTAGGAACGATATTTTTTCTTGGGAAAAAATGATTCCCAAATTTTATGTCGGATGAATGATTCCTTCTCTAACTCCCCAGTTGTTTTTGGGTTTTTCAATAGCTCTTGGATTTTCTTCCAACCAGAGCAATTTTCCCGCTCTTTTGTACCTTATATACTTAGCCGAATGAAGATGTTCCTATGCTTCACCCGCTGATCATCATCATCTTCTTCATCCCTTTCTCCTTTTTGTTAAACTCTAGATTCCTTTACATCCTCCAATAAATAATAAACCGGTGATTCCCCAAAACCTTAAAATAAAATCTGGAAAATTAATGTTGCAGGATTGATAATAGACCAGTAATTCCCCTCCTTCCAGTTACCTTTTTCCAATTTGTATTCCAGTCTCCATGGTAGGAGTAGCGGCGGGTTGATTCTGGGAATCGATGCTGTTCGTTTTGGAAACAGTTAAACCTTAAAGTAAAATCAGAATGAACTTCTTCAAAAAAAAAAAAAATTAAATGCTTTTATTTATGTTGGTTAAAAATTACACATATCATGTTTTGATTGGGTGGGTTGTTAACATCTCCTTTGAACTTAAAAACAAGTGAAAGACACTTGTCCCACATTAGAGTTGCGAAGCCAACTCGATCAACATATATATCCCATATGCTACTCCCCTCATTGTCAATTGGTTTTGAGGTGGAACCACATGTGGGTTTATATGGGCCTTCAAGATGGTATCAGAGCGGATTTTATCCGCGGACTTTATGGGTGGACGTTGACCGATGCGGTGATTTCTCCAGTTTTAGTGACCCGTATTGAGCCTTTAACTTTATACCCGTATTGGGCTTTGACTGAGCCGACAGTATATCCGAGAACTTTGATACCCGTATTGAGATTTACACATATTGGGCTTTGACTGACCCGGCAGTATATTTGAGGACTTTGATACCCGTATTGGGCTTTGATATATTATCCGTATTAGGCTTTGATTGTTCAAAGAGGACTTGTCCATCCCCTTTGGCCTTGAGAGGGGGTGTTAACATCCCATTTGAACTTGAAAACAAGTGAAAGACACTTGTTCCACATTGGAGTTAAGAAGCCAACTTGATCAACATATATACCCTATGTGCTACTACCTTCTATGCTAATTGATTTTGATGTGTAAGCACATGTGGGCTTATATAGGCCTTCAAGATGGGCGCACCACATCATAGATGCTGACATGGTGCACCGGTGGTGTAGAATAATTTCTCAACGAATGCCACCTGCCTACTATTACAAGGCTTAACTTCTATTACAAACCCGACTTACAACAAAACGATATACACCCCTATCTAAACAAATTGCTTCCCTATTCACCGATATGCCTACCATGAGAAGATGATTAATCATTATTGTTGATGATGTACATTGATTTTGTAATATGCAAAAAAAAAAAAAAATTGCTCTTCTTGCAAGAATATTTACACGTAAATTATTCTTGCTAAAAACAGAACAAAAGTCACCAATCAATACTGATTACTTTTGTCCTAAAAAATGATTTCTCGGATCCTTAATATGAGTCATTTTGATTTGTCTTAAGTAAAAGTTAGGACAAATCAAAATATTTATAATAAGGACATGAGGAGGTAGTTTATTTTAACATATTTAAGTTGAACAAGTTTTAATATTTTATTGAGAAAGAGTGTCAGGTATCAAGGACCAGATCGGAATTAGAGAAGTTTCCGTCACCGGAGCTGATAGTCGGAGAATGAATTGGGGCGAAGAACAGAAGAAATAAGGTGGGAACGAGGGGAGAAAAATCAAGGCAGAGAGAGAATATTATGAATTTCAGAAAATGGGATTAATCATTGCTGATCATTACATCATTATTCCTGCGTATTTATTACATAAAATCAATACTCCCTTCATTCCAAAATAAGTGTCATTCTAGAGTTTACACACAGTTTAAGAAATACTTAAATAAGGTAGCTAAATTACTAGAATATCCTCAACTAACCCCATTAAAATAAATGTTCACCAATAATATTATTTCTTTTGATGGTATGTTTGGGAAATGTTTGACAAAAAATGCATTGAAATCCGAAAACAACACTTGTTTTGAAATTTCTCTATTTTGCTAAAACGATACTTATTTTGGAAAGGAGGGAGTACTGAACAGGAAAGGCGGCTAGCTAAACTCATTAATTGCCCCTTAACCCTAAACTTGTCTGAATTGTATTAATTACCGAACTAATTATTCCCAGCCCGGGAATCCCACTAAAAATGGGTAACTCCACGCCCACTGTGAGAGGTAAACCACACTAGGCAAGATCTGAGTAACAAATTAGCCTTTGAAATTGTGGGAAGCCTTTCTAAATTCCACCTCGAAAGAATGATATTTTGAAAGCCATCAAAATCAGCTTTGACCAAAGCATCATTCTATTTCCTTTTCTCCGTAAACAGAGAAGTAGAATCACGCTACTTACACTGTCAACACGACTGCTATAACAAACCTCAATCATGTTCATGGTAAAGTCAACAGCGGATTCTTAGAGAAGGTGAATGGAATCAGGTAATTCTTTCTGAATTGATGCTGTTAAAATAACTAAATACTACCTCCATTTTTTTTATTTGTCGTTAAATAAAGTTTTTTTTAATTTTACTCTTATCTGTTTCTACTTTCAATAACATATATTAATGACAATAAACTACTCTTTTACTTCAATTTTCAAATTTTTTTTGGAGTTCCAATAGTTTTAATTAGGGGCAAGAGATACAGTAACATTATAAATTAAATTCTCAATCATTGTTTTCTTAATAGTTGTGCAAATCCTAAAACGAGATAAAAAAACGGAGGCAGTAGTTTGCAACAAAATTACATCCTTTGTTGGCATGACTTACGATTGGATTTAAGTCTCTAAGATATTCCAAAAATCTATTTTATCATATATATATACTAGTGATGTCGGGTCGCGCAGCGACCCTGGCCCAGTCTATCTGTAGATCTTAGAAATATTTATATTTGAAAAAAATAAAATTTGTATTTGTAGCGATATATTTTAGAAATGTTTGAAGGATTTAGAAATGTTTTGTAAGTGTGATCATAGAAATATTTGTATTTCATAAAAAAAAAAGAAATTGTATTTCGCCATGTATGTTTTAGAAATGTTTTATAAGTGTTATTTATTAAATATAAATAGCCTTATTCGAATAAATGTGTTGAAGTAAATGTTAGATAAAATATAAAAGCATCCTAATAAATTTAAATATTAGTAGGATGATTTATTGATGTTCTCCATTGGTCGTGCCAAATCAATACTTAGTTTTGGTGATTTTTAATAGTTTTGTAATAAGTTTCATCCGAAGGTTATACGCTTAAAACAAAGTTGACACTTTGTAACAAAAACCTAATTGATCAATTCAATTTAAAAAACCACTCTAATTGAATGAAATATAAAGAAAAAATAAAATAAAAAAAAACGTGTCACGTAAAGTGCAAAGGGAAATTTAGTAATTTAGTTATGGTTAGACAAAAGGACAATTTAGTACTTTCTACATGCCACGTGGCAATCATATGAGGTGTTTGAAAGGGAGGTTTTTGTTTCTAATATAGTAGGATATATTATATTTACAGAGTGTCAACCGTCGGCAACAATGACTAATCCCCACTAAATTTTATTATATTATTTTAACTCGACTATTTCATAGATCAATGGATTGCGCTCTCTCTCTCCAAAGGCGAGAATCTTCTTTACTCCAGATTCCATGTCTCTATAATCTTTTATTATTGGACCGAATTGGAAAAGTTGTAGTTCTTCTAGCTTTTCTTTTAGGTGTATATCGATAACAATTCCCAGGCATCTGATATTCCGATTCCTTCTCATCTTCTACCAAACATTTTGTAGCTGCTCTTTCCTCAAATCTCGAACCCAATTCCATTTTGAAAAGTAATGTTAATTTTATTTTTTTTTGGATATCCTTGATTCTCCACTTAGTTACCCTCTCTTTCAATTATTTAGCTATCACATCAATAAATCAAGCACAAGATCATGAGGAACAATTGAGGGATAAGATACTTTACCAGTCAGATAGTTCTTTATAAGATAGTTCTGAGTTGTAACCTTTAAATGGAAATCGTCAGGGGATTTCAGAAATTTTTGTAAGACGGTTATTCTCTTAAGTAAATTTTAAACACTGCCTATGCAACTTTTTATTTATTATCAATAAAATTAGAAGAATGCCCACTGTACCGCCCTTGTTCTTTAAAAAAAAAAAGAAAAAAAGAAGATACTTTATGCTATAAATAAATGTAGACCCGCTGGGTTTTGTCAAAATTTATTTCGCTACAATATGCAATTCATGACGTTTCATAATGTAATTGTTGATTAATTTAGCTACCCCTTGTTCAAAAACAAATGAATATAAATGGAGAACCACTATTACTTATTAAAATAAAAAATCAACCTAGAACTCTTCTATTTATATTTTTGGATCGGGCACATCTAAAAGTGGTAAATAAATAAAAAAAAAACTAGTATAGTCCAAATTGAACTTTAAACCTTCTCCCAAAAAGAGTCTCCCCAAGTGCAAGTTTTTGAATTAACATGGCTGTGCTTGTTGCATGTTTCAATTATTCATGCATCAGGAAAAAAATATCACTATCTCCGTGGTTCCGTTCTAAAAAAATAATTTATATTAAATTTTGAGATTTGTATTAGTTTTAGTATAATTTGAAAATTCAATGTGAACTATTTTTTTGGGACGGAGGAATACGACTTCTGAAATGGAAAAAGTACTACCCAATTCGTCAACAAGACAACCATATATACAAACAACATGTGTTGCTCCAGCATCAACCCTTTGTGCTAACTAATAAACTACTCCGTATGAAAGATCTCATTCTCTTCCCATTTGCTCACCCTCCCAAATTCATTAATCTCGTTTCGTTGATTAACTAGTCCACCGTAAAAATGTCTGCCCAGATGAAGAAGCTAGATTCCTCAATCAAGTTGGACGGAAATGTTTTTTCTCTAAATTTTCTGAGACAGACCACACTGCGTATCGAGAATGAGCCCCAAACACATTTATAGCGTTGAGTTGTGGGAGTACGATGGGCATTATTAATTTTTGCACAAAATTATTGCAGCTTTATATTAATACTGAATCAGTATTAATAAACTGATTTTCCCCTTAGTCGGCGTTTGTTTTTTTCCCACAGAATACTGTATTAATGTGTATATGCATAGAACTTGCAGGATTATGAAGGTTCTACTTTGTTTTTTCCCACAGAATATTATATTGATGTATATATGTGTAGTTCTTGAAGGATTACGTATGTTATACTCTAGCAAAGCTATAAAGAAACAACAATAAAATATGAGTTTTTGACTTTTTTGGGTTGGTAATATTTTCATCCTTTTTTTTTTAATCAGAAAACTGTATCCATTAAATTATAATTAATAATGTATAACAGCTTACATTTTAATCAAATAACACCACATTTGAGGAAGAAAAAATCCTATCGACTAGACATTCAAAACCGTATTGGCTAAATATTTGAAATGGTGCATAACGAGGGAAAGGAACTGTAGTATGGAATAAAAACGATAAAATATGATTCGAATAAGTATTGATAACGCAACGAGCAATAGGGCATGACTAGTGTTAAGAAAAGGGGAAAAAATATCGTGATGGTTTTATTTGTTTTTTTCTACGTGAGCATAAGGTGAAACTGAACCATACGCACGTTAAAATTATTTACAATTCAACCAGTGATTTATCCTTTTTAGTAAACAAGAGTCTCCCAACCGTTTTTGCTTCATAATATATGCCGGAATTTGAAATTTTGTTACAAGATCCTAAAATTCTGACCTTTTCGCTCGAAAAGGGTCGTTTTCAAAGCACAGAAATGTATTTACAGTTCCTGTTAAGTTTCTTTGTTACTACTATATTCCTTTATCCACCTAAGACGAAAACCCTCTAACGTTATTTTTTTTTAAGAAAAAATTGGAAGACCCAGCAAAAATCAAATTTTCGACCTTCTGGTAATAATTATTACCATCTTAATCCTCTAACCGCCCACCCAACCCTCTAACATTAAAATTCCATAAGAAAAAAACCTTACTAAAAGAATTTACCAACAAAGTAAAATTTCGAGTTATTTTCAACTAGATGTTAAACCCGTGCGAAGCACGGGATTTATCTAAAGACAATATGGTAAAATCATTAAAAAAATAAAAATGTGACAAATACAAATAATGTTAAAGAGTTGTGATGGTATAGATGATATGGCTAAAAATAAATTATAAGACGTACTTACAAATATCAAAATATGTATTTATATGTAACGTCAAATTAAATATTGTACAAATTGTGATAGTGTTTAATCTTAATGATGATGAAAACTACATACCATATTATGTTTTTAGTGGTATGAAAACAACTAAACAAATTAATATTATAGTTAAATTATATTAATTAAATTTATGAGAACTTTATTTGTTATTACACAAAGTTCTTTTATTTTGAATTCATAAAATCATACCACATAGGATTTTCTAGGAATCATTAACCAGTTTCTCTGTGGTTTCTTCTTTATGATATACTATAGATAGATAGATTTGAATCCACCACAGAAAATAACATCCACGGTCTATAGTAATGCTTTTATTCAACTGCAAAAAAAAAAAAAAACCCTGAACTCATTTTATTTAACTGCAAAAAAAGAAAAAAAAATACATATATCTCTTTAAAAGTAAGAATCTATTTTACCCTATTGACTAAGAATAAAGTTGATCTCTCTTTGAAAGTGAGAATCTCTTTTTACTTCACATTCCCTGTTCCTATTTACCCACAAACAACACCACCCCCCCCCAAAAAAACCTTAAACTCATTTTTGTTTCTTAAAAAAAAATAAATTCCTTTTGTAGTAACTCGATAAAGAGCATATGTAATTATGACATCAATGAACAGGGACGGCTCAACGTTTCGAGGGGTCTAAAGAGAATTTTCTTGTTGGGGTCTTATAAAAGAAAAGGCTAAAAAAAATAGTTCTTTTCGTTTATTTACGTTTAAGAGAAAAGGGAATTTTTTATATGAAAAAAGATTAAGTTTATCTTTTAAGCTTTTTTCTCTTTCAAAATTATTTATACTAAGTTAAATTTTCACTTTTTAACAAATTCTTTAATGAAACTTTCATAATATAATTGATAGCTTTCATACTTTCTAGAAAAAGTCGTTTTTATTGATTTATTGGTTTGAAAAATTAAGAGTTTATTGTTAGATTTTTGAAAATTGATATTGACATTTGAACATGAGATATGTGGAGTTAAAAATGGAAATTAAAATTTTTATTTTTTTTTCTTTTGAAAGAAAGTATTGTTTTCTTTTGATTATTTTTCTAATATACATGTATATAATATTATTTTTTGAATAGTATATATAATATTATTAACTATTATAAAATTTTAGGGCCTTTCTCAATTTGGGGGCCTAAAGCGATTGTTTCACTTGCTTTATGGAAGAGCCACCTCTGTCAATGAACCACGCTCGAACCTTTATATGAAGTAGTACTATGAGTTAAACTTTGTTGTTAATCATCTTTCATATCGACCTTGCCAGTCGTCGAACCCATTTATAGTAAAATTCTGGTGTAACCTCATTGCATCTCAAAGCAACGTAATTGTTTCCGACCAAAAAGTAATGGTCTAATAAAAAGAGACAAAAACATAATACTTTTTCTTCTTCTTCTTCTAATCTTTATTTTATGCTCATACTAAGCTAACTCTCCAACTATAAAAGGCCTGAGTCCCTTCTCCGTTTTGCTCACCCTTCCAAATTCATTTTTATCTTGTTTTCTTGCTAAACTAGCTCTATATTATACACATACCACCCGCAAAAATGTCAGCTCAGATGGAAAAGATGGCTTCCTCAATTGAAATCAAGATTGATGGGAATCATTTTCTTGAAATCTACCGAGACAAACCTCACCAGTTGAATAAAATGACCCCGGCTAACATTCATAGCGTTGAGTTGTGTGATGGTGAATGGGGAAAAGAGGGATCTGTCACCCGCTGGACTTTTACTCATGGTACGTTATAAAACTTAATTTTGGAGAACTGTAATTAAAATCCGTTCTAAATTAAACGCATTTTCATTAACTCGAAATCCTTAGGTGTCCTGCCTGGTGTCCATCAATTAAGTACCCTCCGTCCTAGAAAAATAGTCCAAACTCAATGTAGGTTATTTTTTGTGGGACGGAGATAGTATTATGATTGTGTCAGAATAGCGTTGATCTATTATATATTTGTATTATGTATGGAATATTTCCTGACTTATGTATACTTCTGTGCGGACCTTCATTATCGTAGATGGAAGGATGATGACTGTGACATGCATCACTGGAGTGGCAAAGAACTCAGTCACATATAGGATTTGTGAAGGAGATCTTTTGGCTGCGTACAAAACCATGGCCGCTATTATCAGTGTTGATAAAGAGGGTGACAAGAACTTGGTCACATGGACATTTGAGTATGAGAAAAAGGACGAGAGCATCCCCAATGCAGATATGTTGATTCAACTCGGCCTTAGTATCACTAAGGATATCAACGCTTACAACCTCAACAAATGATCCATATGATCACTTTGATGTTTGAACTACTTCTATTTCTAATTTCTATTATGTCTTTGTGATTAGTGTCGACATGCATACCTTTTTATTACATCTATAGTGTGTGAATAAAATGCCAGCATACGTAGGCAAAATTGAATGTCGATGATGTAATTCTGCGAATAGATCACTTTCACTATGAATGAAATTATAAGTGATATTGTTCATAATGTTTATGTTTTAATTATCAGCTGTCGCATATATGCATGTATGTTTAACCAATGAGTTTTGATATGTTTAACCGATTTCTTCCGAAACTGAGGGAAAAAGAAGTTGATTGTATGAATTTTTCTTTCAATGCTCTTTCTTTTCTTCTATACATAATGAAAACATACATCTTAAAGACCTTACAACTGATTTATTTTGTGAGTAAAAAACACCGGTAACATCATATTTTAATCATAATTCGACTATCCGGACCCCTACCTTTTAAATCCCCTGCTAACTAAATAAGCACTGCTCTTTCCTATTCTAAGCAAGTTTTGAAACGAATTAAGCAAGCCTGTAAGATTTTATTCAAGTCCCTTGTATATTTTTCTTTCACTAATCTCTACTTTTAATCTTTATTTTTTTTTGGTTACACCGATGGAAGGAAGTACGTACTGATCAATCACATGATAGGCAAGATCTTTAAATTGCTTTCCAAGAACGCCTAACACTTAAAAAACGATCCTTTTTCTCAAGGCCCTGACCTTGGTTCCGAGATTTTTGTAGCAGTGAGATACAACGATTCCAACTACTGTTTTTTTTTTTTTTTTTGAGTAATCTAACTGTTGTTTTTTAATACAATACTTCTGCGATAAGAGGTTTTTTTTTTTTTAAGAACTTAATTATGTTTCATAGAATGATATCATCATGAGCTATATATGATATATCCATATCAATATTTAATTTCAATGAGGAAACAATCATGAACGGATAAAAGAAAACCAAAGAATTTTGGTAAAATATTTACACAGGAAAAACAACAAAAGGAAATGTTGTTACTTTCTTAATTGTAGTTAGTTACTCAACGAAAAAAGGAAGTACAAACAAATAATTTAAAAAAATCAACTCTGCAACATTTTCTTTGGTTAATCGAATTCTGACCATTACAAATTTACAATGCGCCGTACCTAGTACTATTCCACAAAAGAATTCGTCCCTATCTGAACAAATTGTTTTTCTTGCGACAATATTTACATGCAGATTATTCTCGTTAAATATCACGCAAATGTCACCAATCAATGCAAATTACTTTTTTTTTTATTTTTTATAAAACGTAAGCTTTGTATATCATGTATAACATCACCAATTTACAACTCATCCAACACTATTACAGTTACTTGCCTATCGAGTATCTACACCAATCCTGCGCAAAAAAGGAACAGACTTATCTTTCTTACTTTTGTACATAAACTGGACTTTACAAATGAGTTCCTCTTTGATTTTCTCTACTTTTACGTGTGAGGGTTCCACTGTATTGCTAAATTTCCTAGCATTTCTCTCAAGCCATATATGATATATGCTAGCATTTATAGCTGCAAAAACGATCTTCTGCTGCAGCTTTTTATACTTCCAGATTCGATTGAGTCTTCCTGTTTGCAGTCCATGAATATCAACTCTTATTCCCAACCAATTATTCATTTCGGTGATTATATCCTGTGCATACTGGCAATGAAAGAACAGATGTGCACCTGTTTCCTTCTCCTGATTGCACAGCCTGCAATTTGTGTCAGTAACTGGAACATTCATCTTTGCCAGTCTATCCACAGTGAGCAATATCCCTTTCCAAGCAAGCTAGCTTATAAAAGTTGTGCTTTGGAATAGTATAGGCATTCCAAATGATGCTAGCTTCTCTTAATTTTGGTAAGCTTCCCCTCATCCATTTATAACCACTTGTTGCATTATAGCACTTGTTGTTGTTAACTGCCCATTGATCATTCTGGTTTCCTGCTTTTAAGACATCCTTGACCTTTACTAGCTTCTTCCAATGCCAGCTGCAGTTATGAGGAGCCTTATAATCCCACCATCCTTCCCTTTTAATGTAATATATGTGCAACCATTTAACCCAAAGGCTCTCCTTATTCTTCTCTATTGCCCGAACTTGCTTTCCTAACAGTGCCTTATTCCAAATGCTAGGGTCCTTTATGTTCAATCTACCTTCTCCCTTTAGTCTACAAATTAGAACCCAAGCCACTAAGGACCATGATTTACCAATTTCTTTTTTCCCCCAGAGGAACTCCCTGGAGCATCTTACTATATCTTGTATAACAGATCGAGGGATCAAGAAGATGCTAGCCCAGTAGGAATGCAAGTTCAAGGGGACAACATTTATCAACAATATTCTTCCAGCATAAAAAAGGTGCTTTGTTGACCAACATTTTATTCTAGCTGTAACTTTTTCTACCAACAACTTATAGTCATTCTTGTTCCAAATAGAGGGTAAAAGAGGCATACCAAGATATTACATTGGGAAGGATCCTGTTTGAAACCCCATGATCTTCTGGATTTGATCTTGCACATGCTGATCAATACCTCAAAAATACACATTTGACTTCTGCAGGTTGATAGTTAAACCAGTAGTATCAGCCAAATGCACAAGTATTCCTTTGATCCTTCTTACAGTTTCAGTCTCAGCTCTATAGAAAATAAGTAAGTCATCAGCAAAGCTGAGTGACACAACTTTCAGCTTATCACAGTAGGGATGGTACTTGATGCTCTTCTCTTCAGCTTCCTTTCTTATACATCTGGTTAAGTACTCCATAACCAATACAAAGAGCAATGGAGAGAGTGGATCTCTTTGCCTCAATCCCTTTTTCCAGAGATAAATCCTGTGCTGCTACCATTTAAGTTGAAAGAGAAGGTACTGGAAGTAACACATTGCATTATCCATCTGGTAAATCTTTGGGGGAAACCATACTCTCTGAGCATTTTTTCTATGAAATCCCAATGGATTGAGTCAAACGCCTTTTTGAGATCCACCTTCATCACACAGCTGGGAGTGATGTCTTTGCTCTTATACAACCTTATTAACTCCTGAGTTAATAGAATGTTGTGCATGATTGATATGTTCTTAATGAAAGCACCTTGATTCATGTCCACTAACACAGGTAACACTTTACTTAATCTACTACACAACATCTTGGAGATGCATTTTGATGGGGTGTCAAGCCACGCAAATAAAATAAACCTACTTCTAACTACGATAGTATAGAGAAGTAAGGTCGTCTCCTCAGGGAATGATAGACTGCTTCCTTTAAACTAATGCAAAGATGGATTTTTGGTTTGTTTTTCTAAACTATGATAGTGAAAATTAAATGACAGAAAATAAATAAAAGAAAAGAAATCAAGGTAAAAACTTCTGACTCAAGGGACGGAGAACTCAATTATTTCATTAATCCTGGGTTGCTAAAACTATTCAAGCAATTTAAGCATTCAACCAACTATTGGGATACTCGTAATAAATCTAATAATTCCCTAAATTAACTAACCAAGTCTAGCACTCATTGAGTCTTTATTATAATTCGGCTGGGCACGATAGCGTTTCCTGCCAAACAATGACATTATAAAAATCAACGGAATATAGTTGAACCAAGACCTAAACAATTGAGATAGCTACAACCACTTAGGCATTGTCTCATTGATTCTACATTTAAACTAACATGCACATTCAACGTCTCACCAATACACATGCTTTGTTTAATTGCTACTCAATTCTGTCAGTTCATGTCAATTACGTAACATTCAACTAGCAAATAGCATTAGAAAGCAAATAACAAATCAAGTTGTCAATTCGAATGATATCTACTTTCATAAAATAAGAACAAGAATTAACAAATACTTTTTTTAAAAAAAAAACAAATTTTATTAATAATAAGGAAAAAAAATAGGGCAGTGAATATACTAACCCTATGGCAAATACAATTTTGATCTTAAAATAAAGTTGAATCCTTATTTAATCTAGCAGACCGACGAACTTGAACTTTCTTTTTATCATTGGCTTTTTTCAAATGATTGTGATATGTTGGAGCAGAAATTTTGCTCTAAAAGGACTCTTATTCCATTGCGTATTTCATATCGAAATCGTCATTATCAGAACCATTGGAAGCATGATTTAGTCCACCTTCGGAATGTACTTCTTCAATCGAATAATTTTGGTCAAAAGGCTCGGTATAGTTCCCAACGTCCATATCATCTTTTGATAAATGTTGTTTGTGTGATTTTTCCATCGTTGGGGCTGAGATAGGAAGCAAAATTTCTAGAAGCGGGGGTTGTGGTTGTGGAGCATAAGAAAACTCCGCGACTTCGAGTTTCAATTTCTGGAAGCTGCTATTGATAGAGCGATTATGGGGAGATTTTACCGTATTAGAAGATGATGGAGATTGCCTAACTGCAGGAGATACATTGCGGATATTATTTTCAATTGGAGTTCCAAATTTTCTTCCTATGACTGCGAGAAATCAGCTTTTGAATTTTGAGATTCAAGTTGACAAGATGACTGTGATTGCGCGTCCTGAGCTATCGCGGATGGAATCGGCTTCAGTTGTGGGTTTGGCGGGTTTTGTGAGATTGTGGGGACTTCCTGAATAGCCGCCGGCGGCGCCATCCTTTGAAGATTATCCAGCTCGTCGACCAGACTTTCTTGTTCTCCGATGGCCACCGGAGACTCATCCATTGCGAGAGGAATTGCTTCCACTACTGTGTTTTCCTTCCGCTCATGGTAACCGGGGCCTGTGGGTGATATTTCTCTTTTTGAATTTGAGAAAGAACAGTAATTGATAGTGAAAGGCGCTCAGAATCTGGAATTTTTTTGCTGCCTTATGAGCCTTCTGTAGAATTGATTTGTTGAACGAGAAGCAGCGGTTACGCAGGCTGGCCTGGTGGAGGCTTTTCCGTTGACACAGGTTGATCCAACAAGAACTTCTCCCCTTCTAGCCATGTTGACGAATTCTTCTTTTCTTGGTCCGATGATGGCACAATTACTGGAATTGCAAGTGATTCCTTTTTCTTTGCCGGCTGTAAAGAATGTTGCTTTTCTTGTGGTTGTTCTTGCGGCTGTTGTTTGGAGGACGGAGGGGCATTCCTCGCGGACATTGATGGGTGCTTATTGCTCTGATTATGCCAACAAGATTGGAGATCATGTCCAATCTTTTTGCAATCTTTGCAATATAGGGATAGATTTTCATAGTAGACAGATTGGAAATTGGAGTTGCCTTCCACACCGAGTCTGATTCGGATGGGCAGTTCTTTCAGAAGATTTACCTCCACACAAACCCGAGCAACAGAGGGATGGGACATGTTGAGAGTAGGAACGTCGATTTGAGGGGCTTATCAATGATTGTAGCAACTTTGTGCAAGTATTTTTTATTGAAACGGTGAATTGGAAGTCCTTCAAAGGACACCCAAACTGGAACAATCGGAGACTCATGTGTCGGGTTGAAAGTTGGTGTCCATTTCTGAATTCGCATGGAATGCTTATCAAAAGTCCAAACACCTTTCATCCAGCAACGTTGGAAATCTTCCTCTAAATGGAAGTAGATGAGTACAAGACGTCGATCAATCATTCCAAGAGAAAAACCACCTTTGAAACCTATTGTTTGGAATTCTTTCCACAAATAATCCATTGTTGGTCGACCCATTTTGAGTTTCCCAACAAGAGCAAGCTGAAATGGAGCAGCCAATTTGTCATCTTCCACCTGTGTTAGAAGGAAAGTCGGCTCTCTTTTGTATTGTGTTGGTTCAGATTGAATAATGGAAGCTTTTGGTTCGAAAGAAGCCGTGAAAGCTTTGGATAGTGTTCTTGGATTTGGTTTTAGGCCTCCAAGAATTTGACCAAAGGATGGTTTATTGTTTAGGGGTTGGACTAGGCTACTAGCCGGCGGTTGATCGTCGGCCATTAGATGAATTTACCGGTTTCAGTTTTGGGATGAGCATTTTTTGATCCTCTGCAGAATATACGGTATCAAGAAAATTGATTGAATTAACAAATACTTAAATCATAGGCAAGAATAATAAATTGAGAACAAAACCTCATAATGAAATAACTAAATAAATCCCTTGAATCAGAAAGAAAAACTTAGCCACTCATGGACGGAAACATGACAGCTTGATTCTCCATGAAAAACAAAGAAAGTTCAAAAAACAAAAAGTTGGAGGTGTCTGGTTTTGCCAACGCACGGCTGCCCTAAAAAATAAAACTAAAAGTCTATTTATTAGGGAAATTTAGATCAGCCGCCGGAGAAGAAGAAGAAGTCCGCGATTTGTAACTTTGGTTCCTCAACTTTGCAATTTTATCATTTTCATGCCAAAACTTCTATAATTGTGCAATCAGGTCCGTGATAGTCCGAATTAGCCCAAAACAGCTCCAATCTCTTATTTTCACATTGTAACATGAAATAATAACAAAACCAATGAATTATATCCATCCAAGTCCATAAACTAATGAAATAAGAACCATAAAAAATCATTTATTGGGGATTAAGGATATTAAAGTAGTATTGAGCTGCTTTAGTAACATACTTGAGTTGAAGAAGTCCAATACTGCTTCACAAATATCATTGCCAACTATATTCCAGGCACTTTTATAAAATGTGCTACTGTATCCATCAGGGCCTGAGCTCTTGTTCCCATCTACACTGAGCATTTCTGATCTTACATCTGCTTTTGTAAATTTTTGAGTCAGGGGAATCTGCTAGTATACAGACAGTTTGATCCCTGAACTGAAAATTTCACTTTGAGCATGAGTTCTTTCAACAGCTTTTCCCAGATAGTATTGGATGAAGTGATTTTGCACTAGGTCCCAATCTTCAATGATATTTCCTGTTGCATCTATGAATGACCTTAGTTTGTTTCTATTTTTCTTCTGCTTGATACTAGCATGAAAGTATCTAGTATTTGGATCACCTTCTTCAATCCAAGTCTCTTTTAGTTTCTGTTGCCAGTAGCTAAGTGCTGCTTTACTAGCTAATATATACTCCTCCTTGGCTTCGTTTTCCTTTTCCTGCAGAACTTCATTAGATGGATCTTCTTGGAGCTCCTGCTGCAGTTCCTCCATATTCTTCTTCCATTCCAGTACCTTTGTATCTATATTACTGAATTCCTTCCTATTTAGCTCTTTAAGTCTTTGCTTCAACAGTTTTTGCTTCTTCATCACTATATATTGTTTACTTCCTTTGATGTTAATCTCCCAGCCTTCGTTAACAATTCTTAGGAAATCTTTGTGTTGTCCCCACATATTAAAGAATCTCAAGGATTTCTTACCTTTTGGAACTTTATCACCTCATCTTATCAGGAGAGCTTTATGATCTGAAATTCCCGCAGGTAGTATTGTAGAATATGCTTCCTCAAATGTATTTAACCATTCGCTATTCACCAGTGTTCTGTCCAATTTGGATAGAATTCTGCTGGCTCCCAACTGTCTATTATTCCAAGTATATTTGCCGCCTTGATATTGCATATCCCAAACTTCACTCTCTTCTACCCACTTTTTAAACTTGTCACTGTCTGCATTTGAGTCATTAAGGCCACCCAATCTTTCATTGATGTTCAATGTGCAGTTGAAGTCACGCATAATCATCCAAGGTCCTTGAACCTTACTTGCAAGATCATGGAGTTCCAGCCACAATTGATTCTTACCAGTTATTAAGTAATCAGCATAGACCACAGTTATGGAGAACTTCCTCTTATTGTGCTTCTCCATGATATTACAATGCAATACTTGTCTGGTCATATGCTCCACTAATACTTGATATTCTCCTTTCTTCCAAATTACAAGGATTCTCCCTTCTTTAGAGCCAACATGATTGCTTACAAACTCATATTGATTCCATTTTCTCAACATTAACTCTTGTACATTCTCCTCTTAGTTTTGTTTCCAATAATCCTGCAATCCCCACTTTATTGACAGAGATGTAGTTGCCTACTTCTATGTGTTTTAGAGGGCTCTAGTTTCAAAATAACATATCTTGTTAATGGAACTTGTTTGTCACTAGCTCTTCGTTTAGGCACTTTCACTCCTTTCTGATTGATTGTGAGTATAGCATTTCCCTCTTCAGGACTTAAGTTCACCATAGAGTTAGCTACTTTTCCAGTGAGCCTTCTACTCTCTATTCCTTCGTTAGGGTTTTGCTGCTTCCATGCTAACACAGTCTGATCATCACGTTCCTTCTCAACAGATTGTTTCTCATTCATCATCTTGCTTTCTTGTTCTAGTGCCTTAGCTTTCCAATCTTGTTGGATTGGAGCTCTACATATTTTCCTCTCATGACCATAACCTTTGCAGTTTTTGCATATTACAGGTTCCCATTCATACTTCACAACCTGTTCTTGCAAGTTGCCTTTTTCATCCTGAAACCATATAACTTCCTTGAGCTCCTCTTTAATCTCAACTTCAACCAAAATCCTGGCATATGCAGTGTGAAGCTTTTGAGAAGTCATGTCGTCCATTTCCAGAAGCCTTCCAATCATGCTGGCTAATTTGCTCAATGTGACTGGACTCCAATAGCGAAGTGTAAGCTTTGGCAATTGAATCCAAACAGGAACATTGTGTATTTCATCCATATTAATGTTCTCAGCTGCTGACCATTCCTTTGTAATAAATGGTTTACCATCAAAGTGATAAACACTCTGCTTCAGCATCTCTCTTCTTTCATAGCCATTGTCTTAAATTTAACATCATAAACTCCATTTTCAAGTAGTACAATCCTCTCAATTCCTAGCTTCCCCCAATTCCTTCGAATGTAACCATTTACTACTGCGTATGCTGGCTTAGCTCCCAAAATATAGCACAGTACATAGTTCTTCCAATAATCAACTTCTGATTGTACTTCCTCTTCAGTTACAGTGCAGACCTCATGATTACTGATCAATTTAGTCTCTCTATACTGCAGTTTCTTCTCAGCACCATTTATCATCTTAGTATCAAATTTCGTCCATACATTTTCTACAATAACCTTAGCCTGATCTGAGTTTAATCCAACTGAATTCTATACACCAGAATATTCTCCAACTTCCTTACTAGCATTCAAACACTGATTAATTCCAATTATCATAGATCTACTCGGAGATCTGGAGTTTTGTGACTGACTACTTACTTGAGCTGGAGCTCGAGCTGAGCTGACTGGAGTGAAGCTATCCACCGGATGACTGTGTTCCTCTTCTGGCTGTTCGTTTCCTTCATGTGCTATCTTCAACTCTCTTCTTGGATCCTCGAGCCATGGCTGGCACAGATGCCTTGAGAAGATTGTGATCGGGGACACGCAGTATGCGTATTTTTGCCCACACAAGAGGAGAGAGAAAAAAAGGAAAAACACAAGATGAGAGTATCCCTGATCCTGATTCAATGATGAAAATCTGCCCAAGTATGACCAAGGATATCGAAGCTTACCACGTCAACAAATAAAATCACCAAAAGGGGGTGGCCCAAGTGGTAAAGGGCTAGGCATCCAACCCGGAGATCCCGGGTTCGAAACCCCATGATAGCAAAATGCTGCCTTTCTTTGCAGGTTGTAGTTGGAAACTCTTCAAGCACCCGATGGACGCGCGGAAAGAGATTGGAAACTCTTCAAGCACCCGATGGACGCGCGGAAAGAGGCGTTGCAGGCGTGAAGTCGTCTCCCACTAAAATAGGCTAGTGATAGGTCCCCGCCAGACTCACATATGTAATAGCCTAGGTGCTTATAAGAATCGTATAAAAAAAATCACCAATCTATCAAAAAAGGGGACATCTTCATTATGTCATGAACCTATCACTCTTTGGAGTTTGGCATATTTTTAATTGTTATTCGAGTGCTTGTGAATTGTGATACCATATATACAGCGTGAATAAAATATCTCATGGGACTATGTTGAACCATGTGGGCAAAACTGAATCTATGGTGTATTCTGAATCACCTTTATCATGAAACTATATATGTGTTGACCAGAGACATAATGTATACGTTTTTGGTACCAGTACTTGTATCATCGCATATGCATGTTTATTGAGGGAGAAAAAAAATTATCCGTTTGTAGGCAGGTCTTCAATAATCGGAAGAGAAACCTTCCCTAGCAAATCTAACAGTTTGACCGGGTGTTGAAGTTGTTAAAAACTCCATTTTTATTGGACAAAGAAGCTACTGTAATGATATTCAACAAAAAAATGCGGAAATTTATCTAGATGGATAAGGTCCTGACAATTCACCATAACTTCTAAACAAAAGGTGGTTTTTTTATTCACCCATCAGGGAAATAGAAATACATAACAACTATATTGATTATTATTAGTCTCCTTCCTTCCTTCCATCCAATAGCCACCAGAACTGCACGACAATTTAAATGTCAATTTTACTTGGAACAAAACAAGGGACCAACTTAATTTGTACCCAAAACCCCATTAACATTGTGTAAGGGAATAGGCAATAAAAATATCTTTCAAACCTCAGTTGCCATTGAGGTTGCCGGAGCCGGAGCCCATGCGTTCACGGAACTCGAACCATTGCTAAACCTATCCAGGCAAAAAAGAAAAAAACAAAGACAATAATAAAAAATAAAAAGAAATACTAAAAAAGTTAGGAGACATTTTTACTTTGATTCGGACAGGAACGAACAAATAACAAAATAAGGAGGGGCGCATACACCGGATTCAAGAGGGGATCCGCCCATTCGGTGGCAACGTAGAGGACACATACAGTGTTGAAGATGCTTCGGAGCTCCCCCACGATTAGTTGCGCGCCTTCCATTTCCATTGAGAGAGAGAGAGAAAGCTGATGATCAGTTTGGAGACATTGAAAGAAAGAGCGGAAATGGGTTACGTTTCATGTAGGCAACCCAAGGGTTACGGGTTTCCATTTTAAAGGGGAATTCTTACTTGCGTAACACTCCCACTCCATGTCTTAAAATTGCGGATTTCTTTCAAGTCCGCCAATATCTGCACTAAACTTTCTTCTTTTTTTATTACACTGCACTAAACTTTTTGATTCATAGATTGTCGGCCAAGATTGTGGGGAAGTGGGCTTGTAAATTGAAACTCGGGCCATGCTAGCACCCTGTTTGTCCCTATTTTTTTGTTGTCCAAATAATAATAAATTTTTTTAAATTGAAAAATGATGTACATCATATTTAACTATTTCGGATCTATAGTTTATTATTGAAGGTTAATGAAGTTATGTCATATGGGTATTTCTTCTCTTGTTCCAAATGTGATTAAATCTTATTAGCAAGAGACTCTAAAAAAAATGCTTGTTTTTCAAGAGAAATTTGTTATGTCGACCTTGTCGTCGACTTAAGGAACCGCACAATGAAGTTGATGAATCAAACATATGTAGTTGCACATCTAGAAATTAATATTGTTAGGATCCTAAAAAATTATTAGATTATAAATGTATTAATTTATCGATAAATTAATAATTAAAAATTAGTTAGTAAAATCTTTAGAGACATTAGCCTACAAGTCTAGATTAAAAGTAAAGGAGTTATCCAGCCTAGCCTTTGGAACACTTTGTATGAAATTTTTGTCTCGGTCTACTCAAAGAATGGTAGAGCATGATGCTTTTGTTTTTCATCCAAACTGCAAAACTCTTGGCATTACCCACCTAATGTACGCTGATGATGTGTTAATATTTTGTAAGGGTGATTACATAGTATGTAGTCAAACTTTGAAATATGTGTTGCATTGACAATTATTTTGATACCACTGGATTGCGGGCTAACAAGAATTATTTAGAGGCAAGCTTATTTTGGGGGAGTTCCTCTTCACATTAAGAGAGCTTTGATTAATTTACTTGGTACTGAGGAAGTGACACTACCATTCAACTAGCTTGGAGTCCCACTCACCTCGAAGCAACTTTCTATTGCAGATTATTTGCCTCTGATTGAGTAAATTACCAATGCATTTTTGGATATCCAAGTTCCTAGCTTATGCTGGCAGGTTAGAACTCATACGCTGAACCGTATATAGCATTGAAAGGTATTGGTATTCTATCTTTATATCAACTAAGAAAGTTATCAAATTAAAGTCTTTTGCCCGAAAATTTCTTTAAACAGGTTCTACAGATTCGTCTCATAAGTCTCCTGTGGCTCGGAAAAATGTTTGCCAACCGAAATCATCAGGTGGTCTTGGCCTTCAAAATTTTGAGGTAATGAATCAATCTACTCTTTTGATGCATTTATATATAGGCAGTTGCTAATGAGTCAGACTTTTTGTGGGTTAAAAGGGTGCACGGAATTTATCTAAAAAAAAATTATCCATTTGTACTGTTGACATCAAGAGTTCATTTTCTTGGTCTACGAAGAAAATAATGAAACTTAATGGAATGGCTTTGAAATGTGTAACAGTGAATAATGGGAATGTGAATTGGATTACACCTGAAAATTCATAATCTCCACAAGTATGCATGCTATGATGCAATAGTTAGTATGAATCCATGCCCATGGTGGTGCTGACTGTTATGGACCAAACTAACTCTTCCTAAATGCTCATTCATCTCTTGGTTATGTTGTTTACAATGTTGGCTACAAAGCCACTGTGATCAAATGGAACCATTCAATGGTATTTGCTTTTGGAATTATTACAAATTAATATTTACATAACCTCCTTTTGATAATCCCGGGTTGCTTATTACTCCCTCTGTCCCAAAATTATTGTCCAGTTTGAGATTTCATTTTTAGTATAATTTAAACTAAAAGTGAAAACTCAAACTGGACAATAATTATGGGACGGAGGGAGTATAATCATGGCTGGTGGGAAAATTCATTGGACAGCCAATGGTGGATTAATTGCGTAACACGTACGCTGTACACTTCCATGGACCATGAGGCATAAAAGGGTAGGGACCACACCCCCTCCAAATTTTGTCATCATTTAATTTTTTTTAATTTTTGTTTTTTGGAAAAATATAATGATCTAGGTTTTATTTTTTTCGTTGAAATGATCTAGGCTTATGCATGTCTTAATTAAGGGAAATGATATTCATCTCACCAAATTTATCTCACCTTTACATTTCACTTTATATGTCAATCATTTATGGGATAAGAAATTTCATGTATTTGGTGCACTACTTCCTACACTACATCTAAATAACTCGATTTTAATATTATATTTATCATCAATGTTGGTTCAATTGATAAATCATTTGTATTATTATAATTTTTTCCTTAAAGATTTAATTTTTTCGGGGTCAAGGTCTATTTATTTTAAAATTTTAGATATAAAATATCCAAAATGTCTATAAATATAATAAAAAATAATTAAATTCACTTATTAAATTTCACTCAATAATTAAATAATATATAAGGTGAGATACAATGGTGAAATGAATTAGGTGAGTTGTGTATCATCACTCCTTAATTAATTTGTACCATATATATTACTCATCATGTACTAAGGAAAGGAAAAAAAAAAAAAAAAAAAAGCGAATATCCTCTTGTTCACGAAAATTAGCATATTATAAAGCAGGGCCCGTGCCTTTAGTTTATCCTCATATGAAATTATTATAATAATAACTGGTACTCAAATAACTCAACTATAAAAGCCTGACTCCCTTCCCCATCTTGCTCACCCCATTTCCAAAGTTTATAATCTCGCTTCCTTGCTTGTTTTCACTAGCTACTATCAACGCAAAAATGTCTGCCCAGATGAGAAAGTTGTCTTCCTCCATGGAAGTCAAGTTAGATGCAAATGTCATTCATGAAATCTTCCGTGACCGACCAAATGACACTTCTCGTATGAGCCAAGTCGTCAGCAGCGTCGAGTTGTGTGAGGGCCAGTGGGGGAAACCCGGATCTGTCGTCCGCTGGAATTTCTTTACTCCTGGTACGTATATATGTTTGAATATATATACTCTCTCCGTCTCATAATTATTATCCTGTTTGAGTTTTCATTTTTAGTTCAAATTGTATTAAAAGTGAAATCTCAAACTGGACAATAATTTTGAGATAGAGGGAGTATTATTTTTACTCACATTTATAGATTTTATTATAGACCTTTTATGTATTACTATGATTATTGTATATATCATAGATGGAAAGAAGTTGACTTCAAAAGAAAGGGTTGAGGTGGTGGACGACGCAAACAAATCATCGACGTGGAGGGTGCTTGAAGGAGATGTGAAGGCGGTGTACTCCAACTTTGCCTTCATAGTCAAGGTTGATAAAGCTGGTGAAAACAAGAGCGTGGTGACGTGGACAATGGAGTATGAGAAGCAAGATGAGAGCACCCCAGAGCCTAATGGACTCTTGGAAGCCTGCCTTCGTCTGACTAAGGATATGGAGGCTTACCACCTCAACAAATGAAACCAATCTTTTATATCAAAATGGTGATCGATTCACTATATATGGAGTTTGAAAGTACTTTAATAATCTCTATTGTGAGTATATGTGATATTATGTGTGTGAATAAAATGCCTCGTACCGAATGTAGGCAAAACTGAATCCATGTACTTTGCTTTCTCTTGTGAAATTATAAATTCTATGTCCGTTATGTTTGGTTTTACTAATTATTTTCCGTGTCGGTGTTAATCAAATTCATTGTTGCACTCTCCACAGGTTATAGTTGAGTCATATTAAGGATTAATTCATCCATTTTAACTAGTTATCTCAACTATTATTGTGACTACCGCTCAAAAAGAGATTTGTTGTAGATGATAAAAAAAAATATATCAACTATAACCTGTCCAATAAATTACTCTTAGAATTCGTTTTTTTTTTTACCAAAAAAGAAAACTTGCCGTCAAATTTATAGTTTATTATTATGGACAAACTCCTAAAACGCTCACGATGGATGATTGTCCCTTCTTTGACCCTAGAGAAACAACGATTTTACGAAATCCATCTTACCCAAAAAAAAAAAAAAAAAAAAAACATATACAGTAAAAATCGCATGACTACACTACACATCAAGATTCCGTCTTAAAATTATAGAGTAATCTTAAATCTTGATTAAGTTATCTTACCATTTGAAATGTTCACAATTCACCCAAGATTATAATTAGTCAATCGTCGATAGTGATACTTGGCTATGCCCTAAATTAATATGCTCCATACACTAATATTGCAGTTTTGTAAACTGGATTGACAACATTATATGAAGAACCCCGCAAATGATTCCTAATAGAACTGATATATAGTTTGAACTTGACCAGTATATACCATGCTCGGTTCTCTCAAATGAAAACACCAGACAAGCATACAACAAACTTGGTCCGACTCATCTTGTTAATGGCGGAAAATGTGAAGTCTTCTTCTTCTTTAACATTACCGCGGTTCTTATTTAATTTGTGGGAGAGTCGGCGGTGTAACTCACACAATATGGCATCTTTTTCTAGAGTAAATGTTTGGGGAAATTATGAGAACAATTTTTTTTTTCCAGTATTTTGCATTCTCTAAAATTATTTTGTATGTGAATTTCTGCGCATTTTTGGCTAGGAATAAAAGGAGGATATTATTAATGCGAGATAAAAACAAACGAGATCACTAACTTTCTCTTCTTCTTTCTGGAAAAAGAAAAACAATTTTTGGGAGAGAATGAATTTAGAACCCATGAATTAAAAATTGATTAACAACGTAATTAAACTTTTGAACACTACCCGAAAAATTATAGCATATATTTCACCTCGATGTAGTCATGACTGCATTTATCGACTTTTACAGTGATTCTGCCCACAAAATAACACCTTGATTCGAGATAAAATAAAAACATAAATAAAGCTTACATATCTCTATAAAAGTGAACATCTACGTTACCCTATTGAATATTGATCAATGATTTGATCGGTCTTTAAAGTGATGAGGATCTTCGTTACTTCAGATTCCCTATCTCTATTCTAATTTTGGTCATGAACAAAGACGAGGCTTTATATCTTCCATCATATACAGCTTTTCTTTTAGGGTTGCACTAATATTGGTTGTTCTCAGAAGAACACTTGTATTTGCACTAAAAATAGGTCACTTCCTATGCATCCGATTCCATTCCATCTTGTAACCACACTTGTTGATATACCATATTCTCGCAGTTGTACTCCATCAATTTCGAAAAAGGAAAAGGATTTTTTTTTTTCCTTGCAGTATAAGTACTCCACCAATTTCGAAAAAGAGAAAAAAAAAATTGTTTGTTACATTCTTAAGGAAGTCTTTTTTTTTTGTTTTTGGTTAGCTTATTAATTATCTAAGACTTACAACTCGAACCCTTTTACATTTAACCGAATTTTTTTTGGTGCGTTACACATGAAAAAATTGTTCTTTTTTCGATCTGTTACATTTTATTTTCGTTCTGTTTTAGGCCAAGATAGTAACCAAGCAATAAATTAAACGGTTCTGATCCGTGATCCTGGGGAAAAAAAAATGAAACAGCACCATGATATAAAGCAAGTTGGACCAATACCAATTATGCGATCAAAAGTTTTCCAAAAAAAGGAATGAACACCTGTAAGGATAAGTTGTCAGTAGGAGGTCTTTGTCAGACTCTATATAAGAAAAAATAATTGTTTTTTATTTTTTTTACAATAATAAAGGAGATAATTAATCGCCTTGAATTTAAATTATTAAAGATGGTGAATTTGCAATCTTAATAACATCATATATCAGCTATGGTTTGACGTTGGTGGTGACACCTCGCTCTAATCTATGCAGTCCTCAAAAACAAGATGCGATTAGTGATGCTAGTTTATCAGCAATAAAATAATTGTTAAAAGAGTTTTGTATAGATGAATATAATCTTTCACTGCTTTCATAATTTATATATAGCCATATAAGTAACCCAGACAAACAAGATGGAAACAATGAAAACCAAATTTGATCAACTAAAGAAGCATATGGTATCCTAGCAGGGCCTATTCTTCATCCCTTTAGTTTCTTCTTGTCATGGTATGAGATGATAATATATTATCCTAAATCTCACTACGTACTCAACTATAAAAGGCCCGAGTCCCTTCTCCATTTTGCTCACCCTTCCAAAATCATTTCATCTTAATTGTTTCCTTGTTCTAACCCTATTTACCACCACAAAAATGTCGTCAGCCCAAATGCAGAAACTGGTTTCCTCGATTGAAATCAAGTTAGATGGGAATGTTTTTCACGAAATCTTCCGAGAAAGACCATACCACCTACCTAAAATGAGCCCCAAACACGTTCGTAGCATTGAGTTGTGTGATGGTGAGTGGGGAAAAGTTGGATCTGTCGTCCGCTGGAATTTTGTAACTCCTGGTACGCAACTTCTTATACATAATTCCTTTTCTTGGGGGAAAAAGTAAATAAAAGTTAACTTATGAAAATGTAATTATTTTTTATACTTTAATTAATGGACCTTCGTGATCGTACTCCCTCCATTTCAATTTGTAGGTCGTTTTAGGTTTGGAGAGATTTTTTAAAATGTAAGTCGTTTTCTAATTCTAGGCAAATTAATGATTACTTTTCCAACTTTACCCTCAATAAATGATTCTAATTTATTTTTATTTAGTCTTGTTTATAGTTTCAATATAATTAATGATGGATAAAACAGATATTTAACACATAAATTAATTGTTAGATGATTGTCTCATTAATTTACGTGCCAAGTCTAAAGTGACTTATATTTTAAAATGGAAGGAGCAGATGGAAAGAAGGCGGTTTCAAAGGACATTATTGAAGCTATTGACGTCGAAAAGAAATCAGTCACATATAGGGTGATTGAAAGAGATATTTTGGCGGCGTATAAAACCTTTGCCTTTATTATCGATGTTGATAAAGTTGGTGACAAAAACGTGGTTACATGGAGTATTGAGTACGAGAAACAAGATGAGAGCATCCCTGATCCTCATGGCCTGATAAAACTCTGCCATGCCATCACTAAGGATATCGAGGCTTACCATCTCAACCAATAAAATCAATCCATCCAATTTGAATTAAAAGGTTGTCATCAATGATGATGGATCAGTTTGAAGTTTGAAGTACTTTCATTTTCATTGCGAGCGTGTATTGTTAATTCTCTATCTGTATCCATATACTATATCACATAAATAAAATGTCCACGTACTGAGACATTATATATGGTGTATTAAGTTTGCTTGATGATCACTTTTATAAACTTTGACGAATAAAGTCTGTTGGTGCTACTTAAGAGGATGGAATGGCTTCAATTGAGCAATTGATCAATAGATTATTACATGACTTAAATAGAAAAACCTACAACTAGGATAATACTAAATGAGATAATATCAAGTACAAGATAATAACTACACAATATCACAATTAACTAGATAATTATCATATTGACAGGTCGTATAATGCCCGTACCAGTATGGCCAGTGCGTACTGTTTCGGGGATTAGTCTGGGAATTGGGTGCTCTTAAGATTATTATAGAGGTGGATAATTTCAGTGTGGTAAAATGTGCCTAACCCCAAATTTAATTAATTATTATTTGTTTCATCACGGGAACTAGGTCTTTGTACGTGTAACTTTATGTAATTAGCATGGTTACTAGGGTGTAACTTTGTAACCCTAAAACATTGTGTACAAAAACCTAATAACTACACGGAGGAGGCAGGCATTCCTGGGCCGTTTTTGTGCCATTTCTCTTGATATATTTTGTCGTTCTTTATGCTTTACTTTTGGTGGAAGTAAAATTATAAATGCTTAATAACACACGACCCTCGATACTTAGCTAATGAGTACCCGATGGATCTTATAATTAAGCAAAATTGCTTTGTTTTTTTTTTTTTTTTTTTTTGGTACAAATCAAAATCAAAATGCTTAATTAACTGCCTTGAGTCACTAATTTAACTGGCACTTGAGGACCCAACATAATGTCGGAAGCCTTTCGCACTGTAAAAACAATCATACATATCAGTAAGAAGAATTCAACCAAATCTTTAATTCCAAGGAGTTGTATATCATTCATAGTGGGATTCTCAGTCTCTAAGATAGTCATGATGACTGATTAAATGTTCATCCACGATATTCTGCCTACAATAAAGCTTATTGCTTTCAATCAACTTGTAATAAATCGAAGTATAATTATACTACTTTACTCCCCTATTGATCAATAATTTGATTTTTATAGGAAAACCCTCGTTACTTGTGACTTGCTATCCCTCTATTCTAGACCCGTATAGGTGAGATGATAGGTTGCATATTATTAATTGGATGATGCATTATGCTTTAAAATCGATGATTTCACATCTGATTCCATTCCAACTTCAACCAACAGTAGGAGCTACAATATTCTCCAATTTCCTATCACTCCAACTCCACTCATTTAAATCTTACTTTATGCAAAGATACAACAACTTCTTAAATTCTAACCTATTTGAATCCTGCATGACAGTGTCACGTTATCAATTGCAAAGTCTTTAACTTAATTAATTCTAATTACGTATTCAATTTTTTTTTTTGCAATCATTAACATTAGGTATTAAGATGTGATTTCGTTATTTATATGTATTTTTTCATTAATGGATCTTTATCATAGACGGGAAGAAGAAATCTTCCAAAGCCATTATCGATGCCATTGACGAAACAAAGAAATCAGTCACATATAGAGTGCTTGAAGGAGACCTTTTGGAGGCTTACAAGACCTTTGTCTTTATAAGCCATGTTGACAAAGTTGATGAAAACAAGTATTTGGTGACATGGACACTTGAGTATGAAAAACAAAACGAGAGCATTCCAGATCCTTATGCCATGATGCAAAATTGCATCAATGTCACTAAGGATCTCGAGGCTTACCATCTCAATTAAAAACCTGTCCATCGACCAAAAGGAACATGATCATCATGATCCATCACTTCCAAGTACTTTGACATCTATTATCATTATTATCATCAATAAGTCATGTCCCAAAGTATCGGTATTGCATAAATATAATGGTTGTATGAAGACCAAACTCCATCTGTACGAGTATTGCTTAATCACAACTTATTTATGAATCCTATAAATCGTGTAACACATCTGTATGTTTATGCATTCATTTTTGTTGCAAGCATAACTTATTGAAAGAATATTAATGCATTATTTTCAAACTTACACTTCTGCTCTCTCCATTTCTATTTACACATACAATTTAAATCAATTTTTTTATCTGGGCCCACCAATATGGGCGAAGAAGTAGCATGAAAAAAAAAAAATAGAAATAAAAATAAAAAAATGTTGGATTCAATCTTATAGATGAAAGATCTGATACCTAAAATAGCTCATGAGGGATAATTTCTCTCTTCTTTGGCTCCAGAGCCATAGTATCAGGAAAGATTTGTCAGTTTTAACTTTTAATCCTTACGAAGAACAAAATACGTACTTAGGATCCAATGATTTATCAATTTTTAAGATATTAATAAAAGTTATTATATGTACAATGTACAAAAGTTGGTAATTAACCTCCATTCAAAGTTACTCCATCCGTCCCATAATTATTGTTCAATTTGTGTTTTTATTTTTAGTTCAAATTGTACTAAAAGTGAAATTTCAAAGTGGACAATAATTTTGGGATAAAGAGAGTATGTAATAGTGGTTCACGGTGATCCAAGAGCTTTGGCTTCATATCTTGTAGTTTGAAGTGGATATGCAAGTACAACTACTCCAGAAAAAATTACAAGTATGATCCTTCTAATTTTCTTTAAATAACCTTTAGGCCCAGAACTTCTTAATAACTATTTTCTCACCTTATCTGTTGGTGGTGCTATTGGATTTCGAGAATCAATGGATTGTTCATCAATAGTAACTCTTTGCTTTTTCAAAAGGTATTTCTGCGGAAAAAAAGGTCAAATTTGCCAAGAATGGTGAGAACGACATATTTTGGAAAAATCTGTTTTCTCTCCAACGACTAATATTGAAGAATGGCGGGTACATAAAATTTCTCTAAATCTAAAACGACTTATATTTTGATATGGAAGGAGTACCTATATAAAGATATGTCAATCTCATGGATTTCACGTACCCATAATGCAATATCTCACTCATTTGCTAAGTTTACTAAATTATCCGATGTAGTTGAAACATTCTGAAATGTAATTCCAAACTTTGTATCTCAACTGATATTGGATCATTTTCAGTAATCTTAATGAAAGTATATTTTTCTTCAAACAAAAAGTTGTAATTTAAAAAAAAAAAAATTAATTTTTAGACACTTATATTACACAATATGCATCATCGTCAACAACCAAAAAAAAAAAAAAAATAAAATTCCTTTTGAGCCAATGAGAATGAGAAAAACAAACATGACATTGATGACATTTACAAAATTCGGAGCAGTTTATAGCAGCCACAAAGGCAGCTCTAAACTCAAACGATAAATTAACAAAAGTGTGTTTTCGCCCCCAAAATTCAGCTGGCTTTAGTCACGGATTTGACTATCACCAATGGACCCAACATGATGGTGGAAGCCTCAACCGTAAAAGTATCATACTTGAGGAAGAATTCCACCAATATGAGCTTTGCCAAAAGCACCACCAAGTCTTTTCCGGGGCATTGTTTATCATTCACCGTCGGATTCTCCGTCTCTCTTCCATTAGACCAATACACATATTTAAGCAATTTTTCACCCTCACCCAAAAACCTATCCGCCACGAATTCCTCTGCATTTTCGAAGATTTTAGGATCTTTTGTCGCAAATGGCTGGTACCCAAATATCATTTCTCCCTTCTTGATCAAGAACGATGATTCATGGCTGTTGATCTGTATATCTTCCCTGGCTTTCGCGTATTGGTAAGGAACCGGAGGTTCAATTCTCATGGTTTCGTAGACAACAGAGTTGGTCAGACTCATTTTATTTATGGCGGCGAATGTGACGCCGCCTTCTTCTTTAACAGCTGTTCTGATTTCGCCGGCAAGCCGGCGGTGTAAGTCTTCTCCGGCGGCGGCGACCCACTTGATTAGAGCTGGAAACAGGACTTTCATGCCGCCGTAAGTACTGAATCCGGCGAGGAAGACTAAATTATGACAGGCTTCATCTCTTTTGAGCCCAAATTTCTCCGCTTCATCCAGGATCTTGCTTCCGTGTTTCCAAAACGCATCGTACATCTTCTGGTAATCCGATTTCACCAACAAAAAGGGTAAAGGGAAAGTGTGCAAGAAGAAATCTTCCACGAAACTGGGGACGAATTTTAGCCCAAGTGACATTAAAGGACAGAGCATAAGAAAAAGCCATCTGTCAAATGTGCTGGTGCCCTTAGATCCGACAACAGTTTCTTCTGGGCTCTTGTTATCACAAAACAAACGGAAGATAAAATCAAACGAAACCTTATCACCGAGCTTATTCAGGTTTGATTTCCCGTCTTTGGACAATTGGTCTTCAAGAGTAGTGAAAAGCTCAGAAACAGAGCTGCGGAAAATGGGGATGAATTTGTTGTGTAAATGGGCCAATTGGGATGAAAAGAAGCCTTTTAATGCCGCGTGGGAAGGCTCAGTTGTATCAAGGAAAGCACAAACACGATAGCCTCCGCTGAAGTCGGTAGAAGGCATGTAAGTTCCGTCAAGAACGTTTTTTTTCTCGACTTTTGAGGTGTCGAACAGGATTGGGAAGCTGATGGCGTCCAGAACTGCGACAACTTTGGGATTTTGAGCCATGAAAGGACCTGGGATCATGTTTGTTCGGAAGACGGTGGATTTGTATTTCTCCACACGGGTTTTGAAGAACTTGTCTGGGCCTTCGTTGTAGTAGAAATCACGGCGATCCTTAATCGGCCCGAAGAATGGCAAGCCGTAGCCACCAGGGATTTCTCTCAGCGGAAGCAGCTGCTGGCTTTCTGGTGAAGAAGACGACATGATGATAAATCAGTTATTTTCCTGACTATGGAAATGGATTTGTATGAAGATAAGTGGGAAAGCTGTTAAGATTTAATTGAAAAAAAAAAGAAAAAAGAAAATCAATAAACTGAAGGTAAGAAACTGGAAATGAGATGGATGGATTTATAGCAAATGGGGACATATGATCATCAATGATGCAATTGACGAATTTGACAATAATTGATTTGGTTTCTTGACATATCTTCAACCAAAAAATCAGGGAAAATATGAAGTCAAAGATTAGAGGCTGTCACCAAATCTATTACTCCCTCCGTCCCATAATTATTGTCCAGTTTAGAATTTTATTTTTAGTACAAATTAAACTAAAAATGAAATCCCAAACTGGACAATAATTTTGGAACAATATTAATGTATTCCATCAAACTCATCATCCATTTCCGTATTACTTAATTTGGTACCGCCAGGAGAGTAAGGAACCACATCCCTCGTTCTTGTTTTTGAGCTAACTTTGACTTGTACGTTTCTTTTTCTCTCCTATTACAGGGTGTCACCATCTCTAAACACCTCGATGGATCAGAAGGCGGGTTTAAAAACTTGTTTTTTTTTTTTTACTCTACATCATTTCGGAATGTAGTGTTGTTAGTGAATTCACTTTTATGTATAACACACAATTTTGATAGTTATGTACTTCATAAGCATGATTTATTTTCCTTTTCTTCGCCAAATAATCATCTCCAACTACTATATTAATAATGATCAATTGTTCAATATCAACTGATCCTGTGAAAAGGCTATAGGTGGCTTCGAAGCCATTGGAATTTTGTTTTTTTTTTTTTCCCACAAACTTAATATATTCTGCCCTATTAGAAATGAACGCCCAAAGATTCATTATGGGATAAGTAAAATTTTTACACCCAATGTGGTGTTTTTCAGCTACTACGATAAGACTTTTTTTATACACACGGTTATACTACTACTTTATCTCATAAATTTTCAAATATGGAAGTAGTTTGTGATGGCGAACTATGAAATTAAAGAAGTTGCATGTAGGTCAAGGGTCCGAAACTCGCCATGGACATGGAGTAATCTTAGATACTTTGTCCAGTTATCTCACCTATTGATGTGCCTACAATTCAGTAAGGGGCATTAGTCACTATTGCTGACAGCGGACACTTTACAAATATGAAAAAAAAAAAAAAAGTTGCAAATAGACTTTATATTTTATGTTTTTTGTGACCATTCTCTGTCATTAATTATTGTTATTTGTTGGAGATAGAATAAATTATTTTTTCCCCCAAAAGAGGATATAGACTATATATAGAGGTATATCTAACCACTATAATATCGAAACAGGGTAATAAAAAATTTATTTGTAGTAGTAACTCTCTTTCAATGGCTTCATTGGATGCAATAAATAAATTAAAAAATAAATAGTAATGATTATCATGATAATTTAACCAAAAAGCTTTTTCTTTCTTTCTTTTCGAAATAAAAATTATCCATATAAACTTGTCCGTTATTTCTATCGTAATAAAAATCTCAAGGGAGACTCACAATTATAGAGGTAACACATTTATAGCAGAAATAATGTGCTTATTATATATTTTCTGTGTTTGGAAAGCGATGTGAATCTAGCGGCGACTTTCCATTTTCTTTATCAATGGGTTCTTGTTGTGGATAGATATGATTAAAAAACGAAAATCAAAGTGCAACGGAACGTGATTCTGGCCGTGGGAAAACGGTAACTTGACAACTTTTTGGTCAATTTTACACCCTCACTTTCATTCGTTTCTTTTGAATTCAGTTGCAAGTTACCCTCCCAAGCTTTCAAGTTGTGCAAAACTGCAGATTTACGCCTAAAAAGATTGCTTTCAGCATTTAAGAAAGTTCATTATTTTGATTAGTTCAACATCAAATGGTGAACTAAAAGGATTCCAGATTCCTAAGTCATTTAAAATAATCTTTTAATCTCCTGTAACTTTTACCTTGTCGTCAATATATATGTTTCTCTCATTCTCGACCTTTTTCATACCTTATCAACAAGCAAGAATGAAGAAAAAACAAGAAAGTCATAACAAATAGTCATGAGCGAGGGGGATTAGTCACTGTTGTTGACGGTGGACACCCGATCGACAATATGCAAAAAAAAAATAATAATAAAAATAAATTACAACAAATAGTCTTATGAAAGATGTGAAATTATACAACCAAACATTAAAATTAAAAAAAAAAAGAAAAAGAAAAATGTGAAATTGAATATCCAATCCAATTCATGCAAAAGGGTAAAACAAATTAAAGAGACGAACAATTGATGAAGAAGACTTCTTCCAACAAAATTGATGAAGAAGATGAGAAACTGAATATCACATTGGGGAGGGGGGGTGGGAAAAGAAGGGAAATGAAATTGTAATAATCATTATTCTAGGATATATTTTGAAAAATGTGCAAATGTAAGGGAATTACCAGCAATTAAGGCTGTGTTTGTTTTTTTATTTATTTTTTCAGATTACCCTATAATTTTTTACATTTTCAATATATTTTTTTTTTATTTAAAGTCAACAGTTATTAACTTAGACAGCAGCCGATACGCGAGCAGTCCACGCTTCATTTCTGAGTACTGTATTAATTAAAGGTATCTTTCACGAAGCTTTCTTTGTGGCATATTGCCAGACATGAAAATTTATTAACATTAGCTTGTATAAGGGATTTATATAAATCTCAACTGCTGAATGTTTGATTTATTATTCTCTTTCTGAACAGTAGGGTAATACTAGTTGTCTAGTCCACGTCGTTTATGCTTTCCTCCTTCTACATTATATAAAAAAAAATAACCAAAAAAATGATGGAGCCTAAACTATTACGATAGAGCCTATTAATAATTTCATATGAGGTCTATGGGTCAAGAAACCTTTCAATATTATGTATTAACAAACACCAATTTTTTCTGGAAAAAAAAACACACGCGCACACGCACACACATAGAATATAAGCCACTAGACCAAATTCATTTTCCATGACTCATGAATCATGATATAGGTCTATGAGGTGGTAGTATTTTTAATTTTTTAAAATGAAAAGAGAGTTACTTTTTAATTTTTATCGGATCCATTTGTCGTGGTTGTGAATAGAATAAGACAAAAGTTAAGGAATTTTAGAAACGCGATTAATTAATAATAAAAAAAAGGAAAGAGAAGAGGGATGAATCAAGTGCATTGCTGAGACGGAGTTTTGAAAAGATTAGTGACATTTATTTATTTTTAATGAAAAAAGGACTTATAAAAAATGATGTGGTCGAATATACTTTGTTTTTTTTTTCCCCGATAATGGTTGAAACCATTGTACAATAGAAACTAACAAATTTATGAACGACATTATTTAGGTGGGTGGAAAGGGGGGCCTTTTGCGCAAGCAACATCATGCATTTCACTTGCTTCAGTTTTAATATGTAAAAGTGTGGTGGTCATCATGGAAAAATGCACATGAGGCATATTTTTATGCTATCTTGTCACGAGTTATCAAGTCTGTTCAACTGTGTTTTTGATGAATGAACGTCACTCCTTCACAAATTAATCTCCAAATAACTAGTATTACCCACAATATCATTAGCCTTGAACCATATTTATTGTACTACTATCGTTTTACCTTGACAAACATTCACTCCTTCACAAGTTAACCTCCAAATAACTATTACTGACATTATCATTAGCCGTGAACCATATTCACTGGTATATGTCCATCACGTAGAACATCAACTATCTTCAAATAAATAAATAAAAAAAAAAGAAATACAATTTGACGCAGTTATTAAGTTTAAGGCGTACGGACTTCGGAGGTTGTACTATGGTGAACAAGAGAACGATGGTGTAATTCCTACAGGTTTCTCGAACCTTTTTTATGTTTTCACTTCCCACGTCGGCCTTGACTCCCAGTTTTCAAATTTTGATTTCAAGCTTCACTACACGGAACCGTTGTTTGACTTGGATAATCAAGATCTGGCCACATTATTTTCCCTATTACTGTAAGCAACCGACTGCTCCTGCGGCTGCGCCATCTGGGATCTCTGCCGTTTCCTTCAAGTTAGGTTGGAACAAATGATAATAAGGCCCCAAACAAAGTCAAATTGTCAAATCTTCGAACTTAGAAGACAAGGAAAACACTTCATACGTGTTGTCCAGAGACCCCCTTTTTGAGATTTTATTCAAAACAAGGAATCCCTAAAATTATTCCGAAGCATTTTTAAACATCATCTAATCTGACAGCCAAAGGAACAGAAACAACCCGCCACCTGCAACTCAAAGCATTTCAATGAATCTTTGAATATCAATTGATTTATACCTTATGACATACCCCAGAACACTTTTCTGATCAGTAGACAATGCAACTCTTTTTAAACTGTAACTGTGTTAATGTCATAGTATAGATATTCCATCAGCAACAGCTGCTACTACATGGAAGTAGGATTACCTAGAGTTGCTTAAATAAGTTGAGATTACCGAACAGTTTTCATCGCCACACATGCGAGGGTGCGTACACCGTTAGAGAAAATGCATCCTGGCAATGTTGCATAACATAATCCCTTCCTCTATCTTTGTATCTTAAGGAGACAGACAAAAAAAGAAAAGCCACAACCAATACCAGGTAGGAGCCTAAAAAAGAGCTGCATCAGCAGGTGGTCCATATACACTCTTCCATGAGAAGGGAACAATCCATCTACTATTTGTCTCGCCTGAACAGAGTAATGAAAGCAGGTCAGTATAACTGCAAGTTGCAATCATATGTAAATCCAGGACATATAAAGTTTAATTCTCAGCTCAACAGTTCAAAAGAGCGAGGAACCATGACACAAGAACTGCTTTGAGAATTTTTTTTCTTTTTTGAAAAAGGCTTTGGAGAACAAGCATAACATGTAAAGGAATTGCGAAATATTAAATATAACTTTGGTCACCAAAATATGTACATACACAAAAAACTAGGCACCTAGGACCGTTTTGTGGAAAAAATAACAATCAGCTTCAACTTTCAACCATCGAACTAACCTTGAACATCTTCAAGTCCTAGATTCAAGATTCTGCTTGCTGCACCAGCTACACTAAATGCATGAGGCGTATTGTCCCCCTCTGAGCAATAGCAAAATATGCAAGTTGCCTTTATACCTTGGGCCTGGCGAACCAAAAATAGAGAATTCAAAAGGATTTAAGGCCTGATGTGGGCGGCAAGTGTGAAACATAAGAACCAAAGAGAATCCAAGGTAAAGCAGAAAAGACAATTAAACTAATACCCCAGTGCTATCCGTCATGAAACATTTCTTCTCCTTTTAAGTTTTGGATGTGGAAAAGAAATCAAGAAATGCTGAAACAGAATCCTACACCTATTCAATCTTATTTCTCATTGAACTCACATATTAAAGTAGATCAACTAGGATACCTGGGATGATGGAATCCTTGAAACATTTCTAAACTATCAACCAGCTGACTTTTCAAGAACAAACTAAATAAGCGACACATTTGAGGAACTCGGGGCCATTAAACAGAGATAACATGGAACTTCAATTTCAATTCCAGAACTCGGAATGTGTTCAAAACCCATTTGAATTGTGTTTCCCTCAAAAAAAAAAAAAAAGAAAAGAACCTATACCAACGAAAGATGTCTTCCAGTGGGTATAAATAAAGGACGAGTGAGAGATGATTCATAACTCAATTTTGCAAGAGTTCCAGATGTCAATACCTTAAAACAAGAAAATAGAGCAGCAAAAGGCAAACTTGGATAGTAATCCTCTTCGCCTAGATCCTCAAAAGGGAAATCATGATCTTCTGCAGGATTCTTCTCACCAATTGAATGGAGATATTCCCACCTCCAGTTACTAGGGTTATATTCTGGTAGTCTCTTCATCCCTCGTTTTTCACAGTCATCATCTGTCCCATCTATGTTGGAACTAGAAAGGTAATATATCTGCTGCAAGCCACTGAGACAAAATATAGGACATCAATTGCCTTTCCAACGTACGGGGTCATAGAAGCAAAACGAAACATTACAACATGGCAGGTCACATAAGAGCATAGAGTTCCTTGATAGCAACCATGGACAACTGCCATTATGAAATAAAGACTCAAGAGCAGCTTGCAACTGGAAGAAGCATGCTCCAAAACAACTTTTGGCTGCTTTCATTCGACGAAATTGTTCCTTTGCATCAAATTCAATCATTCAATCACCGATTGATACAAAAAACCCACTCACCGCGGACTAGGAGAGAAATTAATAGCTCTAGAGAACTTCTCCCAAACTAGCTAAGATCTAATGGGTAACTTCTGAAGATTGATAAGTGCAACATAAAAAAGACGAAGAGCACACACTTTACACCCTAATAGTGTTTTGTGCTCAAAATAAGTCCGAACTATTCATTTAAAAACTGAAACAAAAAAGACACCATTGTTTAAGGCCGATGCAGGGTAGTTACATCCATGACTAGAGTTGTCTTGATGGTATCAATTGATCCAAGATCAAAAGTAGAAGACAAAATGTCTAAAAGACATGCCAATGAGTCAAAAACATCTGATCACCTGATTCAGTAATTTTTCAAAAAATTGAAAAGCCCGTATAAATTGCAAGCCAAAGTTTTCCATTGCATAAAATCCTGGCTAGAGAGGATAACAACATGCTTCTTTTGGTTTGCAGCAGCAAAGTTTGCCAATAAGTCAATAAGTCAAAACAATATATGATGATCACATGATTCCGTGACTACCAATACATTGAGAAGCCCATATAATGCTTGCAAGCCAAAGAAAGTATAATTAACAAATATCTAGACATATCAATGGTTTTCCATTGCATGAAAAACAGGATAGAGGCGATAACGACATGCTTCTCTTGGTTTGCAGCAGCAAAGTTTGCCAAAGCTCAAAAGTTGAAGACAATATGTCTAACGGACATGTCAATAAAACAAAACAATATACAGTATGATGATCACATGATTGGGTGACTTCCAATACAATGAAAAGCCCATATAATGCTTGCAAGCCAAAGAACGTATAATTAACAAATACCTAGACATATCAATGTTTTTCCATTGCATGAAATCCAGGCTAGAGAGGATAATGACATGCTTCTTTTGGTTTGCAGCAGCAAACTTTGCCAAATTCTTGGCAAAATCAATCATTGAGCCCTGTTGAACGAGGCGTCTAGGATCAGTAAGTCTCAAAGTGTCAAAACTACAACCTTTGAAAAGCAAAGCCATTGACAAAAACAGAACTCAAAAAGTGTTTGAACCAATACAGCTGCCTTATTCATACAAGTTAATTTATAGCTAACTGCAATGGAAAGAAAAGATAGCACACAGCCAGAAGCAGATACTGCTTGCAGTTTCTCGAATAGGACACCAAACTTAACAAATTACCAGAAAAACGAATCATATAGAAATTGCTACCTTTATAACTGGAGACCTCTGTTGTATGAGGGCTAGTCCATGTGGTTTTGAGCAATAAACTGCCAATTAAAAACAGTCATTATGTCATCAGAACACAATGCCAACCAATAACTAATTTCAGGAAGAAGTAACAGGCTAAGCAAAGAAATGAGATGCGCAGGGGAGTCTGAACTATGAACAGAGCGAAAGAATAACCTTCAAGAGGAAGAGTGAGATCGCCTGGAGGAGAAGGGGAATAAGCGTTATTCCCAACGCCGGGCAGAACGTTTGGGTCGTCAAGATAACCGATTCTCTCCGCTCTCAACGACGATATCAGTAGGTCCACCGCCAGCTGCCCGACGTTCCCGACCGACAACGCCGGCTTTCAAATCGAATTAAGAAGGAAATTTCAGAATGTATCAACAACTAAATAAGATTATGGAAACCCTAAGAGACAGAGGCAAGAAATTTTACCAATACGAGGGTTGAACAAGATTCTTCTAACTTCTTTTCTTCCTGAGGAAAAAATTCCATGATTTTACTCTACTAAATGGTTTCTCGAGCTCGGAAGGGCAAGCTCAGTCTGCCGCAGAATCCAATTTTCTTCTTTTCCAAGCCCAATCTTTTGAACAAACGCTGTCGTATCTTAAGCTTTTAAGTGAGCGCCGCCGTCTGGGAGTGTCCTGTGGCGTTGAATCGGTGGCGTCATAAGCGAAAGCACCCTCATTCCTCGGTATATTTTTTCACCCGGAGAAATTGGTATTCCTACCCAAAGTTTCAAGGTAATTGTCAATGTTACCAAAAAGTATTAATATTAGCTAATTTTATGATTGTTTGAATTTTGAGCCAATTTTATCCAATAAATCATAATTTCATCAAATGTAAGGATTTCCATTAATATTTAATACAATAATAAATTTAAACTCTTTTATAGTTTCCACAAATACAAAAATACCTTAAAGATATATAAAAATAACAATACAGTCCTTTTCATCTTTATTATTATTATTATTATTATTATTATTATTATTTTGGCTATTTCATTCCCAATAGTGTATATCAACATAATGATTTTTTTATTATTATGGTTTAGTAATAAAAATATTATTTTTTGGTCCAATTTTTTCCTTGTTTGAAGAATAAAACCATTTAATTCAGACTACAATTCATAAATATAAAAGATTTATTTGGTTGCATCAATATTGCCTCTTTTTCCGTGTTTTTCTTCTCCTCTTAAGACCGGCATTATCCATGATCATCAAAGACCGATTTTTGTGGTGGTTTATTTAATCATGACAATACTAGTTAGATAATATAGATTTTAATGTGGAGTTAAGATCTGACTGAAATTTAAAGTAATAGATTTTTATCACTAGCGATTGTAATAATTGGATGGATTTATGATAATACTGTAACTATTAATTGGATGGATTTATTATACTTTTTCGATTAAGTGATTAACCATGACGGTGATGGGAAAATTATCCCAAAAAGACCATACTCACAAATGGTATTAATTGATAACTGCTACATTAAAGTAAGATCGCCTGGACTTGCTTCAATAAGTGGAAGCCTACTGCATTGCTTTTCTTTGCCACACACACACACACACACACACAAACAAAATGAATTTAGCCGTAACCAATATCAGGTGGGAGCCTAAAAAAGACCTACATCAGCAGGTAAGGATCCTAAAAGAAGGAACTTGGGGTATCGGTAAATACTACTGCGATGGGGACCCTTACTGAGTACTTCTGTGATGTCCAGGTAATAGACCCTTGAGACATTGGAAGATGGTCAGGATGATCTGCCATTTCAAATGTAACTTGATATGTCAACTTCTGATTCACCCTGGAGAAACTGAGTCTCTGTGGTTTGATCGTAACCTTCACCCCAACTGGAGGAACAACATCAACGCTGTAAACTGATTCCGCCTCGCCAACGTTGGTGACTGTCCTGGTATAGTTCTGAACTCTTTCATCTTTTCCGATATTAAGCGAGAATGAAGGGTAGTTCAGTTGCCCGTCTGGTATGCTTTTCGTGCAGTGTACCTTGCGTTGGAGAAAGATGCCGACTTGCCTGTCCGTGTAGTTCAGACCGCACAGATAAGGGATGTAATCTTTCGGATCAATGTCGTAAATCAGGCCTGGATCGTTTGCTCTGTTTGGATTTACATGGCCTGAGCCGGTGGCGAAGATGTCAGCCGAAAGCTGGCGTTCGTCCTGAATGGGATTCTTGCCATGGTTCACAAGATCAGCTGTGGTCATAATCGCGGACTTAATCGCAGCTGGAGACCAATCAGGATGCGAGCTCTTGAGCAATGCAGCGACGCCGCTGAGGTGAGGACAGGCCATGGATGTGCCTGATATCATGTTGAAGTTTGATTTTGTGCTTTTCTTGCCGTTGTCAATTGGTTGATGCCAAGCAGCGAGAATATTTGACCCGGGGCCAAGGATATCTGGCTTGAGGATACCACGACTAATGATGTTTGGACCCCGGGAAGAAAATGAAGCAACCTGAGGAGCCAAAGGATCTCCAATGACGGTTCCTTTGAATGAGATAGAAGAGGTAGGTAAAGTTGTCGAGTTCATGTAAGCAATCAATCTGATTCTATCAGCATAAGAAAGATGTGTTGCTGGAAGAACATGAGCATCAGCATCTGTCGTATACCCCGAGGCCTCATCATTGAGTATTATCATTCCAACACCACCAGCATCCTTCACGTTTTGGCCTTTTTCGATTTCATCTATGAAACCACCAACTTCACAAACCACAATTCTGCCTCTAACTGCTGCTGTTATATTGCGTAATCCTTCGCTGCAATAGCGATCGGCTTCAGTATCACTCTGGTTTAATCCAGGGTAAAGCAGAGGATACTGTTTTGTTGAAGGGAAATTCTTAGGCTGGTAAGCGGATTCCCCCTCAAGTTCCTGCTTATTTCCCAGCACTGCAACTGCTTTTAATTTTCTGTCAATGGTGCTTGCACCAACTGTGAGAATCCAGGGAGCCCCATTGGAGACGGTGGCCCAACCAGGGCCGTCATTTCCCGCAGCACAACTCACAAAAATTCCTTTCTGAACAGCACTGTAAGCACCAAGTGCTATACTGTCCTCATAAAATTGAGATGGGAATCCACCCAGGGATAGAGAAAGAACGTCAACGCCATCATCGATTGCAACATCCATGGCAGTCAATATAGCACTCTCAGCGCAAAGAATGTCGCAGACTTTGTAGATGGCCAAGTGAGCTAGAGGAGCAACGCCGACAGCCGTGCCATTAGCATTTCCGAACACATTTGCACCTTTCACAAAGTTCCCTGCCACGGTACTCGCTGTGTGAGTGCCGTGGCCTACCTGATCCGTTGGCGTTACATCTTCTTCGAGAAAATGTCTAGCGCCGATCAACTTGTTGTTGCACAACGAGGCGTTGAATTCGCATTTTCCCTTCCATTTGGCCGGTGGTGGAGGCATTCCCTCATCGCTGAATGAAGGGTGGTCGGGGAAAATACCGCTGTCTATGACTCCAATTATGACACCTCTGCCATAGTTGGATTTACTCCATAATCCCATATTTTGGTGCAACCCCAAGAAATTTGGAGTATGTGTGGTATGAAGAGGCATCACTTTCTGCGGTCGGGCAGATATGAATCCAGGCTTAGTTTCCATGGCTTTGACATGCTCGGGAGATAATTGAGCTGCAAAGCCTTTGAAAATGTTGTGGTAGCCACGGACCATCCGCGGGCCGGACCCTTCGGAACTTGAACTTGAAGTAGTAGTGATGGTTGGTAGAAAAGAATGGTACCATCTGTCCAAATCTTCATTTGGAGTTGAGCTACTACTTAGTGTAGTAGTGGAGAGCTGGTCAGTTTGATGAAATTCAGGTGGCTCAACGTGAACAATGTAAGTCTCTAAGTTGGCAGAAAATGCCAATGAATGAAAACTTAAAAGGAAAGCTAGTGTAAGTATAGCCCTCAAACCCATTTTTCAGCACAGAAAGAATACAATTTTAGGTGAATGTATGTGTATTGATGATTGATTAACTGTGGTGTGTGAGTTTAAGCATTGGTAGCTGAAGGTTTATATAGCACTAGTTCGGAGCCCGCCAAGAAACTTGAACACATCCAGCACGAGAAGGATAATTATAATTTAGCCAAAGTGCCAGGACCATGAACTGAATATTGCACCTTCTTTGACTCTGACGGTCAAAATAATGCTCCAAATTTTTGGCAATTTTGCATCTTGTTAGAACGCCAAAATGCTTTTTTTTCTTCTTTTGCTTGAAAACTTAATCCTTCCATAACTGGGCGGACAACACAAAAAAGATCTTCATGCTCGAATATCTTAGTTTAAAAGTTGAAGGAAGGTTCTGATAAAGATCACAGCGCGTTATTTGGTCGGAGTCTTCGCTGTCCTTTGTCCATGAACTAAAAAGGCGATGCTTTTGGAATTAATTAACCATTCATGTGTACAATGCTTAACACAGTGTTAAAAAAAAGTTTATGGTAAAGGATACTTTACTTTCCACCGACTTTTGCAAGTATTGGGATATGCGTTTTTGCCCAACAATTGATTTATAGCCATATATGAAATTATCACTACCCAACGTAACTCTTTTTAAAAACTGTAATTGTGTTCTTTCCGTAGTATAGATATATTGAAATCGGCAATAACTATCACATACAAGAACAACCTTGACAAGTTGTCGTCACACTAGTCAAATAATTAATTACCTACTTAATACAATTACTAGTAGTAGAGTAGCAAGTAGGGTCGATCCCACAAAGAAGGTTACCAAGTACCAGGTTAAAACTATTTCTTATTATTATTTAGATTAACAATTTATCAATTTTAAACTATTCTAAACCTAAAACTAACAATTGCAATTATTTAAAGATATAAGTAAAAGAAAAACCTAGGCAAAAGGGTTCACCAACCGACTATTCAGTTTAATTTAATCTATAGATATGTGACTTTTGACTCTTATTAATCTCACGATAATTCACCAATTTAAGAATTATACACTCTCGTGTCATAATCCTCTTACTTAAACTAACCATATGACTACTCTCGTGACTATAGGGATTAATAAAAGCACATTAAGAACTTTGGAATTACTAGTCGCAAAGGCGGTGTTCCTACTCTCACGGCTCACTACCTAAGTTTATTATTCCTACAAACTAATACTAGCCTTCCACTCTCGCTACTTCAGCTAGCACCTTAAAGCATGCAAATATTGATCAGGTATTCACATGGATGAAAAACAAGAATAATAAATATTAATTAATAAAAAAGTCACAATCATAACTTAAATTAAATTAAATAGTACGGCGGCTACATCCAAAATCCTAGATTAAAAATATTTAGTTACACATCATCTCAAAAATAAATAAAACAATGAAACCCAGGAGAAATCGCAAAAATGAGTTCGGAAATTGATCCAATGCTACTCCTCTTGGCGATGATGGTGCTGGTGGCGGGGGGTGTTGATGGAAGGTGGGTGATTTGGTGTGTGGAGGTGATGGGGCTGATGGAGGCATGGAGTTTTGGGCTGGCTCAAGGTGGTGGTGATGGGGAGTTGATGATGATGATTAAGGTGATGATGATGGGATGAGATGGTGATGATGCATGGTGATGTGGTGTTGGAGCTGGTGTGCGTGGTAGGAGCTGCGTGGCTAGGAAGGTGATGATCGGCGGAGGTGGAGACAAGGTGATGGGATGGTCAAGTTTTCTGTCTCTCAAAAATAAAACCCTAGTCCTCTTTTTATAGGCTTTTCTCAAACTCTATTTTTTCAGGAATAAGAAAGTTATTTTTTTTCAAGCCAATTTAAATTAAAACTCCTCCAACTCTTTAAGTGCTTCAATTTCTTCCTTGTCAATTTAACAAATCTTCAATTCTCCCTTTGAGTTGTTTTTTCTTTTCAATTTAGTCCAAAATCTCAACAATTCTTCCATTTGAGTACAAAACCTACAAATAAAGATAAAATCATATAAATAACATATTTGTACTCAAAATATATTGCAAAAATCACAAATTAAGAATATAATAAATAGGTAAAATATAAGTATATCAAACCTCCAAAAGTTGCTTCAAGGAATTGAAGAGTGCCGTAAGATTTGTCATTACCACACGCATTAGCAAGTGTATCACTTGAGAGCAAACGCATCGACTCCTGCAAATTTCCGGACATAACCCTATCCTCTGCCTCTGTATCTTCGGGAAACACTTTGCAGGTAAAAGGAAGGGGCAAACGCTCAAAGACGATTAGTCGAAGGGAGACGCACATTGTTTTGCGTGGGGCTCTGGAGAAGCTGCAGCCAATACCTAGGAGTGCCTAAAAAAGATCTGCATCAAGAGGTGGTCCATATACCCTCTGCCATGAGAAGGGAACGATCCATCTACCATTTCCATCGCCTGAACAAAAACAAACTAGTAAAATTGCATTCGCAAGAGGAACATGTAAAGGTAGGGTGTCTAGTGACGATCCAGCTTAAGAATTCAAACGTGCAAGGACGCATAATCCTGAACCCAGAATTGCTTCCGAGAATAAAAAAGCAAGCATAATATAATAAGAATTTTTGAGGTAATTCAAATTAATGTAGCCGTCATACCAAAAAAGGCAAGTATACTAATTATGAATGACAAAAAGACAATAAAAGCTTTTTCTAATTTTTTTTTTTTTTCGAAAAGGTACCTGTATATTAAAAAAAGATACATATGCTATTACAACGCATTCTATACCTATGCCAGCTTTTTCTAATTTGAATGAATATATTCAAGGCCTAGGCTGGACACTTTGCTCTGCTCCACCAGCTAAACTAAAGGCATCAAGTGTCTTGTCCCGTAACACCACCCCCGCAATAGCAAACTAAGCAAGTAACTTGTATGCATTTGACCTGGTGCCCCAGAAACAGAGATTTGTTAAAAGGAACAAGGTCTGAAGGTGCAACATAAGATCCAAAGACAACAACATGATTACTCAAGAGGTGAAATGGGTAAACAAAACATCCAACCCAATTCTTCCCATGTATGAGTCAAACATTTCTTATCCTTAAGAAAAGCTGAAAGCAGTAAAATTCTCCATGCATTCAACCTTTATCTCACTCTTTGGCCTCTCACATTATATCAAGGTCAAGTCTAAGGATACCTCAGATGATTGTATCTCTGACAGATTTCTAAACTAACAACTAGCCGAACTTTCTATAACAAGTAGAATAAACAACATGTCTAAGGAACTCTGGGACATTAAACAGACAAATAATGTAAGACTTCAATTTCATTCCAGACCTGAGGATCAGAGTTAGTTTGCTGCATCTCAACACTGTATTTCAGATCATTCTTAGGAAAAGCTCAGAAAATGAATGGATTTGAACAGAAAGAAAGAACCTTTACTAAAACAAGATATATTCCAGTTGGACTGAATATAGGATGAGAAAGAGATCACACATAACTCAATTTAGTATAAGTTCCAGATGCACTACCTTAAAACAAGAAAATGGAGCAGTTATGGGCAAGAGTTGGATAGTAATCTTCTTCTCCTAGATCCTCAAAGGGATGTCATGATCTTCGGCGGGATTCTTTACCAGTTGTACTTAAATCTCCACACTGCCAGTTACTAGAGTTGTGTCCTGGTAGTCTCTTCATCCCAAGTTTTTCACCGTCATCATCTGTCCCATATGTATTGAAACTAGAGAGGTAATATATCAGCGAGCCACTGAGACAAAAAAGTAAACATCAATTATAATTCCAGCAAAAAAGAAACATTATACTGTAGCAGGCCACATAACATCAAAAAGGTTAATGAATTGCAACCATTGACATCTATCACTGCCAAATAAAACTCTAGAGGAGCTTGCAACTTGAAGCATACCCCAACACCTTTCTTTTTGCCACTTCCATTCGGCGGATTTGTTTCCATGCACCAAATACAATCACAAAATGTATACCAAGAAATCTGCTCTCCATTGACCCAGTGAAAATTTACTGGCTCACAAAGAACTTATGATGAAGTATCTAAGATCTAATGGGTAACGATTGATAAGTGCTACAAATTGGAAGAGCACATACTTCGCACCTTATTAGCATTATGAGCATCAAGACGTTCAAAACTAAATGCATAAAGACCTAGAAAGGAAGTAACAAAAAAGAGAGAACATTGTCTGTGTCTATTGCGTGAAAGCATATTTTTCGTGTCTTATTACATGTGTACAACATCATATATATAATACAATATTACAATAACCCTAGTCGTGATTATCGGAAATCCTAATTAGGGTTTTCGTATTTATATATTCTATCATCCCCGCAATCGGAGCAGGAGAGGAAATCATGCACAGATTGGTTCTAAACAAATAAAATTTATCCTTAGGTAAGGATTTGGTGAATACATCTGCTAGTTGAGACTGGGTGGAGATATGAAGAACTCGAAGAAGACCAGTAGCCACACGTTCACGAACAAAATGAATGTCTAGACCAATATGTTTGGTTCGAGCATGATTAACAGGATTGGCAGCTAGATATGTAGCAGAGACATTGTCACACAAGATCACTGGGCGCTGAGAAAGCTTGATATGAAGTTCTGACAGAAGATTCTCTAACCAAACCATTTCAGCCAAAGCAGAAGCAACCGCGCGATATTCAGACTTAGTAGAAGATCTGGAAACTATAGATTGTTTCTTGGAGGGCCAGGAAATGAGAGAGGAGCCTAAGAAGACACAAAAACCAGTGGTAGAACGGCGAGTAGTGGGACACCCGGCCCAATCAGCATCAGAATAAGTAACCAGGCGATCAAGAGGACCAGCGCGGAGATGAATGCCATAATGAAGTGTGCCTTTAATATATCGTAGAATATGCTTGACAGCTTGAAAATGCTGTTCCCGGGGATCATGCATATGCTGACAGACAAGGTTGACCGCATACTGAAGGTCCGGTCTGGTGAAGGTAAGATACTTTAAGGCACCCACCAAGCTCCAATAGAGAGTTGGATTGTGAAAAGGCGGAGACTCATCAACAGAAAACTGAAAAGCGGGAGCAAGGGGAGTTGC